GAGAGAGAGAGAGAGAGAGAGAGAGAGAGAGAGAGAGAGAGAGAGAGCGCTTTCTGTGTTGACCTGGCTGTCCTGGAACTTGCTGGCCTCAAACTCAGAGAATCTACCTACATCTGCCTATGAGTATTGGCCACAATAATATAACCCGGCCACAATAACTTCCTAACAAGGCATTTATTTTGTTTGGTTGCTTATTTGTCACAGGGTCTCTGTAACTCAGGATAGCCTCCAGCTCCCTTATTTAGCTGACGCTGGCCCTGGGCTCTTGAGTCCTCTTGCCTTAGCGTCCCAAATTCTAGAATACACTGCCATCCTTGGCAGCATTTTGCATCAGTCAAAGAAATATTACTTATGTCTAAAATGTTACAAAACTGTTTTGAGTAATACAAGCATAAGAGGAAAATTCCATACACGGACCCATGTAACAGGTTTTAGTAAAAATGCTAGCATATTCAAAATCTTGCATATGATCTTCAAGTCATAGACTAAAGTATAGATGAAACAGAAAACAGAATTCATGTTTTGGGGTCAGTGAGTAAACACACTTCCCTGCAAGTGATGACTGGACTTCAATTCCAGATCCCACAAAGGGAGGAAAAAACTGACTTTTGACCTCTGCAGATACACACACACACACACACACACACACACACACACACACACACACACAATGGGCAAACACACTGTGACTTCTCTGTCTTCTGTCCCATTCCTGTATCCTTGCTCTTGAACAGACATGACTCAGCATCCTAAAGTGATGTGTACAGTTGAGTTTGAACTTTTTTCTGTGCTCAGCAGCAAACACAAGATCTTGTACATCAGACAAACATCCTACATCTGACCATACCATATGTCTTCCGTTTCTGTGCCCAGTAATACAGAATTTTGTTCAATCATCCAGAATACACACACAGGCTTTCTGCTGTAGGAGTCAAGAGTGCACAGACCGACTCTGTACTCCAAGTTGCTGCTCTTTCCTTTTTTCGCAGGTGAAATGTCCCACCATGATGTTCTGGATGCTGCTTCCAAAGGGATAAGTATCATCCTTTGTGAACACAGCAACACTGAAAGAGGCTTCCTTTCTGATCTTCAAGAAATGCTAGGTGTTCACCTGGAGAATAAGATTAATATTATCTTGTCTGAGACAGACAAGGACCCTCTCCATGTGGTTTAAAATGCAAGGATGTCATGATGTAAGAAGCCCCAGATCACCTGGATTGAAACAGGACTGTGCAGGAACTGGTGTATCACCCTTCTGCAGAACTGTAATGGACTTCTCATTTCAGTTTGCTAATCTGGCTCAATAAATGTCATAGCTCATACAGTAAAACTGTATGTTAAAGAGTACATTAAAGACAAATCTTCCTGTAATTTTTGTTTTTGGTGGTGTAGGGATCAAACCTTATGTGTTTACCACTCTTGTTGGCAGCATGAACTTGGGAGAGTGGGGTCTAAAAATGAGGTGAACTGATGTCTCATGCGATAGCTAAGTTTATTCAAAGCATCAGACAATTTATACTCTGAGGGTTGAGCCACCTCATGTAGTGAAACCATGTTTTCCATAGAGGCTTATGAACAATAAGAACAGCCAGCTTCTATTTGCTTGTTCCACCTGGGAAGGGCACAAAAGCACATCCTAAGATAAATTACATATTTTTGAAAAAACTCTTGTTTTCGTAGAGTTTTTTCACAAACACTCAGAATTACCCCACAAGAGTATACTTGGACTATGTTCCAGCGCTATGAATGGAAGGCAAGTGTTCTACCACTGAGCTTCAAACTCCTCCTAAGAAATGGTGTTAAGTGTTCAAAATAGCCGGGCAGTGGTGGTGCACGCCTTTAATCCCAGCTCTTGGGAGGCAGAGGCAGGTGGATTTCTGAGTTCGAGGCCAGCCTGGTCTACAGAGTGAGTTCCAGGACAGCCAGGACTACACAGAGAAACCCTGTCTCAAAAAAAAAAAAAAGTGTTCAAAATATGACTATGATTATTACCCATTTCTGCAGTCACTGTACAAGCCAGACTCAGACACATACTGGGCTGGAGAGATGGCTCAGCAGTTAAGAGCACTGGCTGCCCTTCCAGAAGTCCGGAGTTCAATTCCCAGGCACCACATGGTGGCTCACAACCATCTGTAATGATATCTGATGCCCTCTTCTGGTGTGTCTGAAGACAGCTACAGTCTACTCATGTACATTAAATAAATCTTTAAAAAGACACATGCTCCATTTCTCTTATGAAGAACCTAGAATGTGTGTGTGTGTAGAAGCACACAGGTCATAAAACCAGAAAGGGATGCATGCGACAGGATGAGATTTTTAGGGAAAAAAAAAGAGGAAATGAGGGTGATGGGATGCACATGCTAGAAAGCATAGGGGTGCATGGATTGGGAAGGGATGCATGCGACAGGATGAGATTTTTAGGGAAAAAAAAAGAGGAAATGAGGGTGATGGGATGCACATGCTAGAAAGCATAGGGGCGCATGGATTGGGAGGGAACAGACGAGAACTGATACAGTGATTCTATGTATTCTATGTATTTGGAAATGCCATGAGTGAACCTGTTATCTTTGAATGCTAACCTAAAAATTAAAATAACAAAAGAGTTCCTCCAGTGAAGTTACACCTCCAGCCCAGAAACAAATTAGGCAGGAATTATAGCTTCAAGTCAGGTTGTAACTGCTATGCATGAAGAGACAGTGCAGCTCAGAGAAGGGAGTGAGTGTATAGTGATCTACCTAGGTATCCATTAGATTTGTATGATGCATTCAATCCTTTCAGATACTTCAAAACAGCCAGCTTACAAAAGGACTCTGCAAACTGCTTTCATTTATTAAACTATAAAGGGAACTGTAAAGATGTCATATTATATAATTAGATGTTTGTTTATACCGTAGGAGTTACACTAGACAGATTAAGCAAAAATGTAAAAAGTACATGGAATTGGGGAAATGTCTCAGTGGGTAAGAGTTTGGATCCCAGCACTCACGTAAAAAGCTGGGCATGGCTATGTGCCTGTAACACCAGTACTGGTGGCAAGACAGGCTCACTGGCAGCCCATCTGGCCTACAAGGAGGTCTGGTTCAGCGAGAGACATTGTCTCAAGGAAATAAGGCAGAAGGTGGTAGAAGACATTTTATTCAGCCTCTGTAGACACCCACAGTCACATGCCACACTCCACAAAAGCAAAGTGCAGACCAGCAGGTTTCATGTTACCAATGTGTATTTATTTATTTATTTATTACATGTTTGTTGTTTGTTTGAAATAAACAGCTTAGACTGGTCTAGAACTCACTACCTAGTCCAGGTCTTGAACTCATGTTTTCCTCCTGCCCCTGCCCTTCTTGATGTTGGGATTACAACAAATGTGAGCTCATGTCTTGTGTTTTAAAAGGAGAGAAGCAATCTGCCTGCCTCTGACTCCTCAGTGCTGGGATTAGAGGTGTGTGCCACCTATCCCTGTGAGCTTTTTTTTTTGGTTTTTCGATACAGGGTTTCTCTGTATAGTCCTGGCTGTCCTGGAACTCACTCGGTAGACCAGGCTGGCCTCAAACTCAGAAATCCGCCTGCCTCTGCCTCCCAAGTGCTGGGATTAAAGGTGTGCGCCACCACCACCCAACCCCTGTGAGCTATTTAAGAAAATAAAAAATGTCAATGTACAAGAATGATGAAATGTTTTTATTTTCTATTGTCCTGAAAACAATAAAATGTAAATCAGGTTTTTATTTCTTATTCTTAGCCTGGCTTCTCATTTGTATCAAGGTCCTGGTACAGATGCCAATTTTAAATATGCTTTCTAGATTAGACACATGACCTGCATATGCATATATCCCTTACACTCTTCCCGTATCTCACTTCAACAGTGTCTGCTGTCTTTAGTATGTGTAGCCTAAGGTCACAGGAGAAAGCTGGATCATCTGAGTCCACTGACACCTTTTATCATCATTTCAGAAAAGGCAGAAGGAGCACCTCCTTCCTCATCAGTTCTGTGAGAACTCTGTACTCCAAACTCTTTGTACTCTGAAGCAAGTGCACTTGTAGTAATTCAGCTCTGGAGTATTAAATTGCCCTCAAAAATTAGGGATACCATTCAGTATAAAATAATCCAAAAACCTCCAGATCCAAATAATCCCTGAGCACACTGTTCAACCAGCAAGAAGTCTTCAGAGAGGTAATAAATTAAAGGCACTTTTTTCCCCCAACTCAACGACCACTGCATAGTATTAGAGACAGTACACCAGCCAGGCTAATCAAAGTTCAAATTGACAATGTGCCTCTTCCATAGAACATCCTGTATGCTGGAGAGAATGATCTAATGTTGGATGTAAACCAGCATTCTTAGCAGAGGAGCAGCAGCTGGGGCACAGTGAGTCTTCCACATAGACGTTCAAGGGTAAGAGACAGCCTACGCCTCCTCCTCTTCCTTCTCCAAGAAATCGGTCAGTGTCCCGCTGTCAACAGGAATTAATAAATACTCTACACCATCAGCTCCCTACGAGAGAAAAGAACACTATATCTGTTAACCCTTGGAAGGGAGCTGTCTGGACCTTTCTATTGCAGGTTAAACCAACCAACCAACCAAACAAACAAAAACCCTGTATTTTAAATTTATACTTATTTGTTTATTTTGGGTTTTTCAAGACAGGGTTTCTCTGTGTAGCCCTGGCTGTCCTAGAACTTACTCTAGTCCAGGCTGGTCTCAAATTCAATGATCCACTTGCCTCTGCCTCCCAAGTGCACCAGCACTGCCCCACAGATTTTATTTTGTTTTGGTTTTATGAGACAGGATTTCTCTGTGTAGCTATGGCTGTCCTGGAACTTGCTCTGTAGTCTAGGCTGGCTTCTAACTCAGATACATTCACCCACCCTTGCTTCCCAAGTGCTGGGATCAAAGGCATGTGGCACCACTGCCCAGACGGATTTTATTTTTATGTAATATTTTTGATATCTAAATAAACATTTAAATACCTAAGTAGAAAATGAAGGCAAAGGGGACATGCCATGTCTACTTTAAACACTGAGATACTGTCGAGCACTTTATAACGGGAAAGTCTGGAGAGCAGGAGATGACGGTTTTCTTTACTGTGCTTTCTTTCAGGCATAGCTAACCTGACATCGTCATTTATAAAGTTCATACGTAGAACCATGCAACTGAGTTACAAACAGAGATCATGAAAGCCCCTCAAAATCTCCTGTTTTCAGTAAATTTACAGTGTGGACCAGATTCATTGTTATCTACAGGCTACATGTAGCTGGACACACCTGCTAGATCCTGCACCCCTTTCCCTTTCCAAACCTGACAGGGATTCTTCTGTCTGACTTCCCCCATTACAAGGTTCATCTTACTGACTTTTGTTGTGTTTTGAGACAAGGTCTCAATATGTAGCCTTGGCTGGCCTGGAACTCATGGAGATCTGCCTGCCTTTTGCTCCCCACTGCAGGAATTAAAGTGTGCCATGCCATACCCAGCCTTCAGCTTATTTGGAAGACATTCAAGAAGCTTTGACCTTAAAATATCCTTTAGAGCTTGAGAGATGGCTCAGCATTAAGAACTTCAACTGCACCAGTTCCGGAGGATCTGGGTTTGATTTCCAGCACCCACATGGCAGCTCACAACCGTCTACAACTCCAGTTCCAGGGGATCTAACACCCTCTTTTAGTTTCTACAGGCACTAGGCATGCATACATACATGGAGCAGATACATCTAAAACATGTATGCATACCGGGCAGTGGTGGCACACACCTTTAATCCCAGCACTTGGGAGGCAGAAACAGGTGGATTTCTGAGTTTGAGGCCAGCCTGGTCTACCGAGTGAGTTCCAGGACAGCCAGGGCTACACAAACAAACCCTGTCTCCAAAAAACAAAAAAAAAAAAAAAAAAAAAAAAAAGAAAGAGTTTGTTTGTTAGAATCTTTCCTCTTCCACCTCATCTTTCTAGAGTTGTCCATAATATGTCTTTCCTTTTCTCCAAGCAGGCCATGTGCCCGCTACCACTTCATCCCATATTTTTTTGTTTGTTTGTTTTTGTTTTTCGAGACAGAGTTTCTCTGTGTGGCCCTGGCTGTCCTGGAACTCACTCTGTAGACCAGGCTGGCCTTAAACTCAGAAATCCGCCTGCCTCTGCCTCCCAAGTGCTGGGATTAAAGGCGTGCGCCACCACTGCCTGGCATTCAACCCATATTCCAAATGGCAGATGCTTCCAGGCTATGGCTTCCCGGCCTCTCAGAAGCATCCAACACTCACTACAAAGTACCATCATTCTCCTGTCCCTTGGTTTCAGGAACACTGTTTCTTGTTTTGTTTCCTTTCTGGCTGGTTCACCTGCCCTTGTCTTTAGTACACAAGAAGCACTAACTCTCAGACCCAAGGCTCCAACAGCAGTCTTACCTTCTTCGTTCTTAAAAGTTTGTGGTCCCTAAATTCAGTTAACTGGGCTCGGAGTGTGAGATCACTGTTAACAAGGAATGCTTCCCGACACTGCTGGTAAAAATCTTGAAAAGAAAGTCCTGGAGAGATAAAAAGATGTATCTTAATCAGTATTTTGTTTGCTGGGATTTTTTTCTTCTAATTTTCTTTTCTTTCTATCTTTTTCCCCCCCTTCCCTGTTTTATTGTTTTAGACAGGGTCTCACTATGTAACTCATGCAAGCCTGGTGTGTCATGTAGACCAGGCTGGCCTGGAACTCACAGAGATCCACTTGCCTCCTGAGAACTGAGATGAAAGGTCTGGGCCACAATGACAAACATAATCAGTATTTTCCCTCCTTTAGTTTTTCAAGACAGGGTCCCTCTGTGTAGCCTTGGCTGTTCTGGAACTTGCTCTGAAGACTAGGCTGGCCCCAAACTAAATAGCATGTAACCTTGTGGGCAGTTTTAAGCAATACAAATTGACTTTTTAAAAAAATTTTTACTTTTTTTTTTAAACTTATTTACTTTACATCACTACCCACTTACCCTCTCCCACAATCCTTCCACCGTTCCCCCTCCCCTTCTCCGCTGAGCTGGTCCCCCCCCCAACCCTGAAACTTCAGGTTGCTGTGAAGCTAGGAGCGTCCTCTCCCACTGAGGCCAGATGAGGCAGCCCAGCTAGTAGAACATATCCCACGTACAAGAAATAGCTTTTGGGATAAACCCATTCCAGTTGTTTGGGACCTACATGACGGTCATACAAATTGACTTTTAAGGAAGGTAACTTAAAAAATGGATCACTAAAATTTTTGTACACATTAACACATTTTTGCCAAGGGGGTAACAAATAAGTTGCCCCATATATGGAAACTATGAAATTGCCAGATACACATCCATAGTTCCAGTAGTGTATGGAATTCTTTTTTTTTTAAAGATTTATTTATTTTATGTATATATGAGTACACCATTGCTCTCTTCAGACACACCAGAAGAGGGCATCGAATCCCATTACAGATGGTTGTGAGCCACCGTGTGGTTGCTGGGAACTGAACTCAGGACTCTGGCAGAGCAGTCGGTCCTCTTATCTGCTGAGCATCTCTCCAGCCCGTGCATGGGAATTACAATTCCTTTTAGCACAGAATCTATTGAGCAGCATCTATAAAGACACTGGACGGTGGCTACAGGTTTGGACAGACATACTCTCAGAGAAGCCAGCACTCTCTGCTGTGAGAAATGCAAGGCTCCCAAAAAACTCTACTACAGGGAACACAGGGGGACAGAAAGTCACATTAAGTATCACACATGTTGATACCGATGTAGGAAGGACTATCCTGGTTATCCAGCTGGAACTTCATAAGTAGCCTGAAAATCCCCCTACCAAAAAGAAAAAAAAATCAAATAAGATTCAATAAATATTCTGTGTAGTAAATATAAGTAAGAACATCAAACATTCAGCTCAGTGTCACTGCCTTTTGTTCCTTTCTCTAAGAAAACCACACCCTCACTGGAAAAGCTTTTCTATCTAGGAGATCTCTCTCTCTCTCTCTCTCTCTCTCTCTCTCCCTCTCTCTCTCTCTCTCTCTCTCTCTCAGACAGACAGACAGACAGACAGACAGACAGACAGACATTTTCTATAATAAAATCTGAGGCAGGTCTGCTGACACCTCTGTGGTCTCAGGCTGCTTGAGCACAGCTGCAGACTTCTATGCTGGGTGTGGCAGCACGGGCCTTTAGTCTCAGAAGCAAATCTCTGGGTTGTTTCAGGAAAGCCAGGCCAATACCCTGGGTTCCAGGGCAGTGAAGACCACACAGCTTGAGACCTTGTCTCACAGGTATCCAACCACACCACCAACCAAAAATCCTCTTGCTGAGCAGCAGCAGCCAGCACCCAGCTCATATGCACAAAAGAAATACAGCAAAAGTTCCAGGTTTCCTTTATATTCACAACATAGACATTTTTGTTCAGAAACATAAAAGTTGCCTGCATGCATATAAGCATGTATGTCATAGGCATGCCTGCTGGATTTCCCTGGAACAGAGGTTACTAATGGCTGGGAGTTGAAGACCAACAACAGTTTTACTTAAAACTCTGAGCCATCTCCCCAGCCCCTAACAATTTGATAAGAAAAAAACTATTCTAGGTTTACTGGTCAATTTCATAGGCTAATATAGAATACCCTGCCTACTGTATAATCCAGTATTGGTACCCGCTTTTATTATCTCTCCTAACCCTTTACAGCAAGCAGGTAGTCTTGTTTCTGTCCCAGTTACTGTTCATTATCAACCTGATACAGCCTAGACTTACTGAAAAGGGACTCCTAATTGAGGGAATTCTCCGATCACACTGTTCTGTAGGAACATCTGTGGGAGCAATTGCCTTTACTGGTAACTGATGGAGGAGGGCAAGCCTAGTGGGTGCCACCAACCTTAGGCAGGTGGAGCTGGGCTATAAGATACCTAAACATGAACCTGAGCAAGCAGCATCCTCCATGATTTCTGCCTGGGGTTCCTGCTTGAGTTCTTTCCCTGATTTCTCTTATGATGAACTGTGGCCCAGAAATGTAAGCCAAATAAATCCTTTCCTCCCAAGTGGCTTTTAATCGTGGTATTTAACAAAACAGCAGAATCAAAGTAAAGCAGTACCACTGATAATTCAGTAGTACATCCTCAAGTGTACAAAGTTTGTTTTGCCTTTTGAAGAGCTACGATTGAGGGCCTTGTACACTCAAAGCAGGTGCTACACCACTGGTCCCCACTCCCAGTCCTTAAATATACACATTACTTATTTTCTTAGTGGTTCTGAGAGTCTAACTCAGGAAATTTAGCATGCTAGTCAAGCACTTGACCACAGAGCCACATCTGCAGCCCTAAGTGTGTGTGTGTGTGTGTGTGTGTAGGGATACATGTCTTTATATATACTATTTTACTTGTAGTTTTCATTCTTACCTTGCATTGGGAGTAAGGCTTCGTAAGACATGAATCAGAGAATTAAGTGGTAGAGATCCAGACTGTTTAACCAGAAGGGAATTCTCATAGGAGGTTTCTTCAGTATAAGGACTGTATGTGGTAGTTTCATACCAAAGCCAATTATAAAGACTCTGCTTTGCATGATCCCACACTACAGAACATGATCAAAGCAAAGAATTACAAATTACTGTCAGACAGTCATGTTACATGAGATTTCACTGCAGCAAAGAATGAAGAAACATTAAGAGAAAGTGCCCAAAGGCTGGTAATGCAGCTCAGGGGTAAAGCACATGTTTCAAGTAGACAAGGTTCTGGGTTTACACCTTATACGTATTAAAAGAAAAAAAATCATCAAATATTTCATTTTGCCACTTCCTTATATAAATCTATAACTCACAATCTGCATCCTCTGTCAATCAATATCTTAATCTTTTTATTTGGTTTTGAGACAAGGTCTCACTATGTAGCCCAGGTTAGTTTCATATCCACAGTCCTCTTGCCTCAGCCTCACAAGTGCCAGGGTTACAAGTGTGAGCTACCTTACTTGGATAACATTTGAAGCTTTAATTGTACCTTAAATACAGCACCATCAGCAATTCCTTCAAAAACTTAATAAGGCAGCTGGGTATACTGGCACACATCTTTAATCCCAGCAGTGGAACTCTGTGAGTTCAAGACCAGCCTGGTCTACATACTTTAAAAATATAAAGTAAAACTTAATAAGGAGGCTGAAGAGATGGCTCGGTGGTTAAGAATGCTTATTCTTGCAGAGGACCCATGTTCAATTCTCAGTACACATGTGATAGTTCACAATCATCTATAATTTTAGTTTCAGGGGATAAGATGCCCACGGGCCTCTGGGGTACATAAACTCACACAAGCAAAATATATATAAATAAAATAAACAAATGAATCTTTAAAACTTAATGATTTAACCTGTTTTATTGTTATCATAGCATCTTTAAATATATAAGATGATCGTTGGGACAGCAGGAAGAGTAGGATGGAACCAGAATAACAGCCCGACACTTCCTCATATGACTCATATGCAAATGGTGTGCACTCTTATAGCCAACAATTACTGTTTAAATCAAACGGAGACCACCTTTTTGACAAGTTGAAAGTTTACTGAAGAAACAATAAGGAAATTCTATAAGACTCAAGGATGGAAGTTTCTCAAGAAGAGACAGTAACAAGAAACTTACTGAGAGGAGCATTGAGGTGGTCAATAGATGCTATGAGATACACGTTATGTAATGACGACAACTGTCCAAGAATTTGCTGGCTATTGTCTCCTCTTAACATTTGGCTATCCAAATTGTGGATAAGAAGGAAGAGTTCTAAAGAAGAATCTAAAAGAAAAAGGAATTCAACTATTATTTTCAGTGAGGATTGTAACATCTTTAGCACATACAATGCGTAGGTATTAAAGTATATGTCAAAGTAAGGTGCTAAGTAAGCACCTTATAAATGAGCAACAAGGGCTGGAGAGATGGCTCAGCAGTTAAGAGCACTGACTGCTCTTCCAGAGGTCCTGAGTTCAATTCTCAGCAACCACATAGTGGTTCACAACCATCTGTAATGGGATCTGATGCCCTCTTCTGGTGTGTCTGAAGAGAGCTACAGTGTACTCATATATATAAAATAAATACTCTTTTAAAAAAATAATTCAACAATATCTAGAGCTGGGGAGATGGCACAGGTGATAAATTGCTTGCTGTTCAAACATGAAGACCTGAGTCCAACCCTTAGCACATTAAAATACAAAAAGTAAACACAAAAATTTGTCATCCCAGGAACTGCCTAGCCAAATTCTTAGCTCAGTGTTATAGTGAGAGTCCAAATATACTCTCTCTCTTATACACACACACACACACACACACACACACACACACACACACACACAAACACAGGAGGAGGGGAGGGAGATGGATTAAGGAAGACACTCCATGTCTTGGACTCCATGAGACTCTTGTCAAGACATGGAGTGTCTTCCTTAATCCTTCCTTAATAATAAAATTATTCTGAAGTAAAAAGGCCATGTAGAGTTAAGAGGTGTAATTCCTTTCAGCTAGGTGAAATTCATAGAATAAATTAGTGTAATAGGAAAGACAAGTTATTTTAAAGAAATCTAAATTGGCACTGATTAGAGTATCCATATTAAAAGAATCTTCATCTTTCTGTCTAAAATACTTAAATACAGAGACGCAGTATGTAACTTCACACTAAATGCTACAGATGAAGTACTTAGTGTTACCTTCTTTAAATCTGTTTATTATCCAGTCTCGCTGATCCAGAACACTTTGGAAAGTACCCACGTGACTGAGGACATCTTCAGTTATAGAGTTCAGGATCTATATCACAGAAGGGCAAAAGTACCATATCAACTGCAACTTACTCTGTCACATTCAATAATACAACTAGCAAATTAATCTTTTTTCATAAATTAAAAATGACTTTGAGGTTCTCACAAAGTTTAAAAGGCACTTAAACTCTAATGGGTGGGCTGGAGAGAGGGCTCAACTGTTAAGAGCACTGGCTGCTCTTCCAGAGGTCCTGAGTTCAATTTTCAGTCACCACATGATGGCTCACAGCCATCTGTAATGGGATCTGATGCCCTCTTCTGGCATGCAGGTGTACATGCAGATTGAACACTTATGTATATAAAACAAATAAATCTCAAAAAAAAAAAAAAGGACAACAACTAAAAAAAAATTTCCACTGGGTATTTAAGTATATCTAATTATTTTTGGTTGGAGTTTTTTGTTTTGTTTTGTTTTTTCAAGACAGGGTTTCTCTATGTAGCCCTGGCTGTCCTGGAACTCACTCTATAAACCAGGCTGGCCTCAAACTTAGAAATTCGACTGTCTCTGCCTCCCAAGTGCTGGGATTAAAGGCGTGCACCACCATTGCCTGGCTTGGTTGGAGTTTTTTAATACTTAAGATAAAAATTACTCAAAATAACCAAAGAAAAAGTGGTATGTGTGGGTGGGTGGTAATGGCGGTTGGTGTGGTAGGGGACCAACCATGAATGTGACCAAAAAAAAAAAAAATGACAACACTAGGGGATATTACATTGGATAATATCCAATATCACATAAGATATGGAATGAACAATGTGAGAGGGCAGGAAAATCGTAAAACCAGAGCTGGATGGTGGTGGTACATGCTTTTAATCTCAGCACCCCGGAGGTAGATCTCTGAGTTCAAGGCCAGCCTGTTCTACAAAGTGAGCTCGAGGACAGCCAGGACTACACAAAGAAACCCTGTCTTGAAAAACAAAACAAAAATCACTAGTAAAGAAACATCATCGAACCATAAATGTGAGCCAGGAGTGGTGGGGTACACCAGCATACTGGAGGCAAAGGCAGGCAGATCTCTGTAAAATGATGGCTAGCTTGGTCTCCATAGAGAGTTTCAGCCTGGTCTATACAGAGAAAACCTGTCTCAATAACTAAAAGAAAAAAGGTGTGTGGTGTGCATGTGTGTGTGCGTGTGTGTGTGTGTGGTGGGGGACCAACTATGAATGTGTCAAAAGAAACAATAACATTAAGAATACTAAAAAGGGGATATTACATTGGATAACATCCAATATCCAAAACCTTGATATAATTCTCAGATGATAATCATTTGAAGTAACAACGGTCTATGATAAACATACTATAAAACTATATACTATCATTATACTTTATTTGTATATCATAATGATACACAACTACAATAAAATGATAGATTCTGTAAGCTTGTTCTTAGCTGTTCCACTGGTAACCTGGTGTAGTAAATGAAGGCAACATTTCCCTAAGGCTTCAGACAAGTCAATTTCTTCGTGACTGTGTTGGCTAGTTTAATGCCAATCTGACATAGTGAAAGTCATCTAAGAGAAGGGAACCTCAATTAACAAAATGCCTCCTTAAGACCCAGTTATAGTCAAGCCTATAAGGCATTTTCCTAATTACCTACTGATGGGGAGGGCCCAGTCCACTGTGGGTGGTGTCATCTTTGGGCTGGTGGTCCTAGGTTCTATAAGAAAGCAGGCTGAGCAAGTCAGAAAGTGCAATCCAGTAAAGCAGCACCTTGGCATCAGCTCTTGAGTCCTTGCCCTGACTTCCTTTAATGACGGACTATGTACACTTCCCCATTTGCTTCCAACTGTGGTTTTGGCCATGGTGTTTCATCACAGCGATAGCAACCCTAACTAAGACAGTAATCATGCTTGTCTGGGTGCACATTTATGTGGGGTCCATGTGGAGGCCACAGGACAAACTTGGGTGTTGTTCTTCAAGTGCTGTGTGCACTTATTTTTATTTATCAATTATTCCTAACAAGTTTTGTTTTTTTTTTTCATTTTAATATGTATGAGTGGTTTGCTTGCACGTATGTATGTGCAACATGTGTATGCAGTGCCCTAGGAGGCCAGAGGGACTGGACTGGAGTTACAGACAGTTGTGAGCTGTCATGTGGGTTCTAGAAATAGAACCTGGATCTTGTGCAAGAGCAGCAAAGCGCTCCTAACAACGGCTAACCCACTCTCCAACTCTATTGGTTTATTTTGAGACAGGGTCTCTCAATGGCATGGAATTCATCAAGTAGGTTAGGCTGGTTGGCCTGAGAGCCCTGAAGGATTACAAGCACAGACCACCACATCTAGTTCTTTAAAAAAGGAAAGAGTTTGGGAGACTGAACTGAGATCATCTTTACAGAATGAGTCATTTCCCCAGCCCCATGTCAGTTTCTTAGTAAGAAATTCAAAGATGAAAACTTAAAGATCAATTGCTCTGAATACAAACAGATGACCCAGCTGGTCTGAAGCCTAAAGCAAAATCCTTTATATATAGTATTCAGAAGCAGAAATCGCACCCAAACTACTAGGGGCCGTGACATGGTAGAGGACATAATATTAGTCCTTTTAATAGAAAACTTACTGATTTCACGCTGATGCCAGGAAAGAAGCCATTGATGACAACATGGATGGAATCTTGAAGCATGGTGGTTCGAAACTTTTCTAGTAAATCTCTCTTGGACCCCAAACCATAAAGCACAATATTGAACCCAAGGCTGTAAGAAAAGACAAGGTTCACAAAATTAAAGCTTAAGACTCCTGACCACCAGCTTTATCACCAACCAGTTTCTCCTAAGCTCATAAGGATTGCAAAAAGAAAACATAAAAAGAGCAAAGGGTAAAAAACAAAGGCTCCCTAATGTGGCGTGCACCTCTAATCCCAGCACTTGGTCGGCAGAGGTAGGGCTGCTGGAATATTGGAGTAGCATGGTTTACAAAGCAAGCTTCAGGCTAGACTCTGCCTCACGATTGTAAAAATAAATGAATAAATGACAAGTACAGGCCGGATCGGGGCAGCTAGACAGTTAAGCTGCTGTGTCCACCCTTCCTATCTGAGAACTCATAGTCCCAACTGTTTGTCAGCTTTCTCTGCAGCATGAAGATAAGAGGAACTGTGGCCGATCTACAACGTTTAAATCAGGATAAAGGAGGGTTGAAATGAGCAGGTGAATGTGCAACAGTGAATCCACTACACGTCAATTGTACTTCATTCCAGTAATGTACACCTAAAAGTGACAGTGTTAGCTGGAAGGTTTTACCACAGGGGAGTAGCATACTCTTCTAGAAAGATTACAGTATCCAAGAGTTAAGTAGAGAAGAGAACAAAACTGCCCAAGTTTCTGCCTGAGTTCCTGCTTTCATTCCCCCAAATGACCATTTATAACTAGAACCATATTATACTATGATGAAATAAACTCTTTCCTCCTCAAGTTGTGTTTGGTCATAGTGTTGTCACAGCAACAGAGAAGCAAACCACAACAGCGTGAGTGGGAGGGGAGTGGGGAGAGGCACTCGGCACACACACCTGACTAGGTGTTACCCTTGGAGCCCACTCCAAGTTGTCCTCTGACCTCCCACATGCACTGCAGTACACACACGCTCACACTCACACAAGAATGAACAACGAAAAGGAAAGGAGACCTAAGGCCTCACATACACTGTACAAATGTTCTCTCCACCACTGAGCTATAGCCCAACCTGAAATCAAATACTGCAAACTATGGTTTTTGTTTGGTTAAGGTTTTTTTCTTTTTTCTTTTCTTCTCTTCTCCTCCTTCTCCTTCTTTTTTTTTTTTTTTTTTTTGAGACCGCTTCTCCATGTAGACCAGGCTGGCCTCAAACTCACAGAGACCCACCTGCCTCTGCCTCTTGAGTGCTGGGATTAAAGGCATGCACTACCACATCCTGGCAATGTTTTGGGGTTTTGAGACAGGGTCTCCCTATGTAGTCCTGGCTGTCTTGGAACTCATTATGAAGACCAGGCTGGCCTAGAATTCACAGAGATCACCTGCTTCTGCTTCCCAAGAGCTGGGATTAAAGGTACATGCCACCATTCCTGGCAAACCATGTTTTAACACAGGCATATTACTATTCCTCATTGTTCAGGGGTTACAATGATAACTTACTGTAACTGTAGCATCCATTTATGAAACAGTTTCTCATGTTGTTGATTCAACTGTTTAATTTCAGCAGAAAAGGAAGGCTCGAATTTGCTCAGTAAGTTACGCAGAGTTTTCTTTAAAAAAAAAAAGAGAGAGAGAGAGAGAGAGAGAGAGAGGGAGAGAGAAATGAAGTTCTTAGTGAAAATAGTGACTTAAATCAGGTACAAACGCAAGTGCACCAATTGAATATAAAAAATATGTCACACATGGCTTAAATACTTGTTTAATTAAAAACTATTTTTAAGGATTTGGATTTTTTATGTATATGAGTGTTCTGTGTGTTACTAGTGCCTGTGGAGGTCAGAAGAGCACATCAGATCCCCTGGACCTGCAGTTATAAAAGGTTGTGAGCCGCTGTGTCTACAGCTCCTCTTAAAGTTCTCCTTATTTCAAGTATATAAAAACAATAAAAAACATTGCTAAGCTTGCCTAGAATCATTTAAATTACAACACACTCCAAATATAAAGTTTTAATTTCTAAAAATATAGTTACTGTAAGATGGTCAAATCTGCTTTTCAGTTTCACAACAAATTCAGACAGACAAAGACTAATCAAAGGAAAAACAAAACAGTAATACCTCCCCAAGCCTATGAGCTTGGGGCTGTAGCTCACTGTCAGAGTGCTTTCTAGCAAGTATGAGCCCTGAGCTGAACTTTCTGCACAATAGTAACAACATTAAAACAACAACAACAACAAAGAAAACCAAACCTGTAGATATGAAAAACTATAAAAGGGTAACAATTCAATATTAATTTTCAGAAAACATTAAAGTTTCTTTATAATTTACCATCAATAATAACCTTGTATTTGCTCCTTTTCAAAAGCTATTTTTAACAAATGCTGTGTCTTCGGCGTTGTGTTGTGGTGCTATGATATAGCTATACCAGGCTCCCGTGTAAAGGCTTTGTCCTGGGACTGCATGAGAGAGAATTCTACAACTACAACTGGGAGCTAATTAAGTCTTCCCCCTCTTAGGTTGCTGTTCTGGGTACTGGTCACAGCAATACAAACTGCATAGTATTGTAAAATCTGTAAAGATAATAGTAATATAAAATACTGATGGTGGTGAGCCCAAAGCTTTGACATTTCAAGCTGGTGAATCAGATATAATTTGAAAGTCCCAGGAAAAGCCGTGTGCATCTTTACTCTAATGCTGTTTTGTTGTGGTTCAACAAACAGACAACACGCTGTTTTACTTGTATGCACCAGCGTACATGTGCCTCAGCATGCCACACGTGTGGAGATCACAGAGCAGCTTGAGAAGTCAGTTCTGTCCTTCCACCATGTAGGTTCTGAGAAGTGAAGTCAGAATCAGGCTTTGTGCTAAGTGTCTTTACCCACTGAGCCACCTTGCGACTCTAACACACTGTCAATACTGAAGGTTACGATCAAATGTGGTTTATTTACACATTTTTTTTTTTTTTGGCTTTTTCAAGACAGGGTTTCTCTGTGTAGCCCTGGCTGTCCTGTAACTCACTCTGTAGACCAGGCTAGCCTTGAACTCTTGAACTCAGAAATCCGCCTGCCTCTGCCTCCCAAGTGCTGGGATTAAAGGCGTGTGCCACCACCGCCCGGCTTATTTACACATTTAAAAGAGAAATGAGCCTCATCTTAAGCGCTCACGTCTTCTGGTGTTTAGAGCAGATAGAGCACAGAAAGCACCACTAGCATCCTCAGTCACTTTATAGTAGGCTGTGAGGACATTTACTTGAGTACATACTTGGCCGTGTTACTCTTATCCACATACTTATATCTGAAACGTCAATTTTCAGGTGGACTACACTACTGCTGTCCATACCGTCTTGATTTGCTGCCCACTCCTTCTAGCTGAGTGGAGTACAGCTTCCTGACTCCTGACTCACTTTCAGACATGCCATCTCCTTCGCTACTAGAACAAGGCACAGACAGGATCGCCAGTCTCTACCCAAGGCTATAGCTATATCTGCTTTCTTCCTGAAGTCTAGCATCGTCATAAGAACACACCTCAGCCACCTGACTGGTCCAACAAGTCAGCAGACACGGAGCATAGCCTGGATCTGCTGACCTCCCACTAATCCTCAGGCAGAAGTAAACGCTCATGCTACAGCTGTGACCCCTGTGACCCTGTCATCATCAGGTTCTTGCTCTCCTGAAGACTACCACTCGAAAGGCTCACTTTGACCTTGGAACCACTTAGGTTTCTCTCATGTTGCTTATAAAACATAGACGGCAGACATTAGTGCCATTGCTTTCATGGAAAACCTTTCCTATTTATTTATTTATTTATTTATTTATTTATTGCAGGTGTGTATGTGTTCATGCGTGTGTGAACAGGGGAACACATTTCCCAAGTATGTAGATTCCAGAAGTCGGGCATCTTCCTTAATCACTCTCAACCTTTTTTATCTGAGTGGATTTTTCATGTGGACGCATGAGTACATGTATGAGGCTAGATCAGGACACCCGACCCCTTGAACTAGAGTTGTGAGGCAGCTGACATGGCTGCTGGAAACCGAAGCAGGCCCTTGTGCATGCTCTTACTGTTGAGTCGTTGTACCTGCGGAGGCCAGCCATAACACTTTCTTCTTAACTTAGAATTACAACCCCCACTGTCCTTTTAGATTTTTGTTTTTTCTTTAATTATAGAGGGCGGTGTGTGCAAGTAAGCTGCCCGTGGAGGCAAGGAGAGGGACTGGGTCTTGAACTTTGGTCCTCTGTAAGAGCAGTATGCACTCTGAATTCCTAGCCATCTTTCCAGCAGCCCTTAAGTCCTACTGAAAGACATCATCACTCAGTGGTTGTGTCCTATGTTACAGGAGGCTGCCAGTCAAAATTCCAACAAAGGCAGATGTATTGGACTGTTTGTAAAATGAGCTTATGGGAAAATCCAGCAAGGTCACCCTTGCTACTTTACTTCACTATACAAATTTTACAAAAAAGCAAGGAAGACATCCTCCACACCTTCTACAAAGCTGGTAACGGTGAGCAGTCAGGCTGCGGGTTTTGTTACGTAAAGGTCAATGACTATATGATTACGGCGAGGAACAGAGCAGGAATACATGGTTATCAGAAAGCTATGACCTCCATAGTTATTCTAAATCCCAAATCTAAATCAAAAAAGAAATAAAAGAAAAAAGGTAAAATTAATTATGTCAAATAGAATTCTAATCATCTAATTCATGCAACAAACATTTAATGACCACAGCATATTAGCGTGTGCTTTACTTCCCAGAGAGATAATTCTGCTCCTGCTCACTTCGCTCCAAAGTGCACCTGCTGTATTTTCAGGTCATAATAAACAGAATGCTGGTAACACCCTCACAGCATACCTGATCCACTCTAGCTCTCTTCAGCTTCTGCAGTGTTCTGTCAGATGTTAAGACTTTTGAACTACTATGGGCTTCAAAATATTCTTCTACCAAGTCACTCTGAAATGGACAAAGGAAAGTTAGGTCTAAGTAATTTCAGATATTTGTGCTACATGAAATCTATAACATTAGTTAACATTGGGCTCAAGAAATTCTCCTGCCTCAGCTTCCCAGACAGCTGGAAAATACATGTGTGTGTCAACATGCCTAACTAAAATACCTTACTGACAATATTTTTAAAGAAATAGTATACTGGTCAAGGATCAAAGATAATTTAATTCTACAAATAAATGTTAATAACTCTTATAAAACAAAACTTAAAAGAATAGACTAATCAGCAGGGTATGGTGGCACGTAGTTTTAATTCCAGCATTTGGGAGGCAGAGGTGGGAGGATCTCTGAGAGTTCAAGGCCAGCCTGATCTACAGAGTGACGTCCAGGACAGCCAGGGCTGCATAATATAGAGAGCCTGTGTATATTACAGCACTGACCGTGAATATGCACCCAGAAGTAAAAAGAAAGTTCAAGGACAGAAACAAGTATGTGTGGGAATTCGTGTGTAAAGCTAAGAAGTAAAGAAGAGAAAAGAAAACGACTGCTGGTCTCACGGCAGACTTGCCCATGTCAGGCAGCCTACAGTGAGGGCTGTGTACAGCGCTCCCTTAAGACCCAGGCTCTGTCTGCACTCACTGCTTTGCCTCTTCTTCTTTTCTTGGGCAGTGTCTCTTTGGAAACAGGAGCTGGAAGCAGTCTATTCTGGCCTTCACTCTTTTGAGAGAACCTGACTGCATTAGTGTCTTCTTCATCATCTTTTGCAACCTCTTCATCATCCTCTGAGCTGGAAGCAGAATATTCACTTTCACTGTCACAGTGAGACCTTGATGCTGCAGCAGGATAAAAGCAGTTGGAAAATTTGACAGGCTGAAAGAAAAGCTATTTGAGGGAAATCAAGAATGTTCGCTTTGAAGTAAGAGATTTTAATTACAATTTTGTCATTACTTCCTTATAATTTCATAGTTAATTATATATATTCTCTAAGCATTAACAGACCTGACTAACTTACTGGAAAATTATATTGGAATGAATTGTTTGTATGTATGAATGCTCCTGTGTATTCGTGGGGGTGGCATATATTTGGGGATGTGTCCTTCTGTGCATGCACAGATGTAGGTTCTAGGTTGATTTAGGTGTCTTGATAACTTCCCATGCTATATATTGGGGCAGGGTTTCCTGCTGAGCCTGGAAGTTGCCCTGCTTGCTCAGGGGACCCTGATAAGCCGCCATGCATACTGGTATAACAGAGAGGTTACACACCCACCCATTTTTTTATGGGGCCTAGGGATTAAAATTCTTATACAAATGCATATAAAGTAAGCACTTTATCTGGTGAGCAATCTCTCTGTCCCCTGAAATGTATCTAAAACAACTGATAAGAATATCAGTAATAAAATATCAGTTATACTTAGTATCCTCTGTTCTTTTCTTTGCTAATAGAACTCCTTTTTTTGGACAGTGTGGTAATGCGTTCCACTATATAATAAAAAATTGTGATAATCACCTTTTCCTTCTGGCAAATTTTTGCGTTCATTCACACCCTTGAAACTAAATTGGTTAGGTAACACTTTGGCCACCAAGACTTGTGAATTACTGAAAGCTTCTGGATTTTCTTTCTGTGTGAAAGGAAATTACCTGTTTATGCAACAGAGACTATTCTGATTATGAAGAATCAATCTTTTTTCTTTTTTTTTGTTTTTTGTTTTTCGGGACAGGTTTTCTCTGTGCAGCCCTGGCTGTCCTGGAACTCACTCTGTAGACCAGGCTGGCCTCGAACTCAGAAATCCGCCTGCCTCTGCCTCCCAAGGGCTGGGATTATGAAGAATCAATCTTAAAGATGATAAATGCTAGTGGCAATGTAAAGACTGAAGGAAGCAAGGCCCTGAATGATACTGCTGGGCTGCTGTGTCAATCATGACACCTGTGACTGTAGACACTGGATACTGTGAGACAGCGATTCCCAAAGTATGCCCTCTACAAGCCACCATCGCTCCCACCGCCCTCCCAGAAACAGGAGCCCAGTTTATACTTTCCAAATAAAGATAGCACTCACTTTATAGTCAACAAAATAAATACAGAGTTATGTTTAACTCCTAAAATGTTGGTGAAATAACTTTAACCAAACCAGTAGGTTTTTACTTTGAGTGACAGGAGGATTCGCTGTAGTGCAGAGTTGGCACGTTAACACATACGCATAATAAAAGAAAAAAAGATGACAAGATGCCACTTTGTAAGCAGAGATGCAGCCCTACAGTCTAGGAGCATGAGCATCCTTTCCCTCCTGAAAAGACACAGGGAGGACAGTGGAAACCACTATAATCAACGGCCGCACTAACACTGACTAAGCTTAAGCACAGTGATACCACCCTAAGCACGGCTGATGTCCCTTACCTCAGTTAGTCTTCAAAGCAGTTATAAGGTGGGATCAACATTACACTAGCACACAAATGAAGTTAAAGACAGAAGAACCAGTAAGGGGCCATCACAGGATGGAAAAGCCAAATAGTGGATATGCAGAACCTGCGTGCTTTACCACCATCGACTCTGTCCTAGCTGTTACTAGGCATGCCTGTAATCTCAACATTTGGAAAGTAGAGGCAGGATGATGAGGAGCTTAAGGCCAGCCAGGTCTATACAGTGAATCTGAAGCTAGCCTGGGATACATGAGATTTTGTCTCAAAAAACCCAAAGGAAACAAACAAAACTTCACATAAAAATACATACCTATTAATCTTTTTCTCAGATTATGAGGTTGTGTTGACAGAAATTCAATTTTGTTATTGTTCTGTTTAAAAATTCAAAAAGCATAGTAAGTAATATGAATAATCTATAATATAATAACAAATAACAAATAATCAATCCTAGAAGTAAACAAAACAAAGCATTTTGTCCTCAGGTTGGACTGGCAGGAAGCCACAGGGGACCGGAGCCTGCAGAGGCTGGTTCTGGGGGTCTTAATCCCTCTTCTCTCTGCCCAGAGGCACTAAGCCTGCCTCCTCCGTCTAACACGCTCCCCCAGCACCTTCAGTCTCCTCTGCTCCACTTTCTGTCTGCTTTTGCTTCTGCCATCATGTCATGGGGATCCTTGCTTTTGCACTCATTTTGCAGTTGCTGAGACATAAACAGGCAAATAAGAGACATAAACAGGCAAATAAATAAATGAATAAATTCTCATATGGTCTCTTTATGGTGGTCTGAATATATTTGAACGCTCAGTTATCAGTGAGTGAAAGTCTCTGACAGGATTAGGAGCTGTGGCCTTGTTGGAGTAGGCTTGGCCTTGTTGGAGTGGGTGTGGCCTTGTTGGGGGAAGTGGGCTTCGAGGTTTCAAAAGCTCATGCCAAGCCCAGTCCCCTCTCTGCCTGCAGATTAGGATGTAGCTCTCTTAACTTCTTAAGCTTCACTCCTGCCTGTGCCGTGCTCCCTGCCATGATAATGGACTAGGCCTCTGAAACTGTAAGGAAGCCCCTAAATGCTTTCTTTCATAAGAGTTGTGCCTTTAGCTGGGCGGTGGTGGCGCACGCCTTTAATCCCAGCACTTGGGAGGCAGAGGCAGGCGGATTTCTGAGTTCGAGAGTTCGAGGCTAGCCTGGTCTACAGAGTGAGTTCCAGGACAGCCAGGGCTACACAGAGAAACCCTGTCTCGAAAAAAAAAAAAAAAAAAAGAGTTGTGCCTTGACCACGGTGTCTCTTCACAAAATAGAACAGTGACTAAGATACTTTTCAAGTTCTCTTAAGTGGTTTTATACTTTCTTTTCTGTGTTCTGCATTCTCTATATTACAGGGGCTTGAATCCAAGTCACATGTGGTAAATTACAAGACTCCTCTCCTGATACAGACAGCCCAACAGATAGCCCTCTTAATTAGGAATTCGCCCTGAGTGCTATTGTTGCTTGCCTATTAGAGGTTGAGAAATGCAGGATTGACTAAGGTGGTTTGAATTAGATGTTCCCCAGTCTTGTGCATCTGAATACTTGATCCCAGCTGGTGGCACTATTTAGGTACATTTAGGAGGCATGGCCTTGCAGGAGGACAAATGCCACTCTGGCAAGGGCTGAGAGTTTAAAGACTCAAGTTCTCTGCTTTGTGCTTGTGGTTAAAATGTGAGCCCTCTGCTTCGGCTCCAGCAGCAGCCATGCCTGCCACCTGCTGCCTTTCTCCAGCGTCATGGACTCTCTAACCCTCAGAACTGCAACCCAAGTAACTCTTCTGTAACTGCCGCGGTCATGCTGTTTTGTCACAGCAACAGGAAAGGAAATAATGCCCTGGCAGATTACTAAGTTGAAGAGAAGGGTCAAAGGAAATGTTTAAGAAAAACAAGGGTTCAACCTACAAGAGAGCCAAACTCTTGCTACCTAATATAAGCATTATAAATCGACTTGAAGTGGTGCATATCTTTAATCCACCACTCAGTAGGCTGAGGTAGGCAGATGTCTATAAGTTCACGGCCAGTTAGTCTATAAAAGGAGCTCCGGGACAACCAAGGCTACATAGTGAGAGTATCTAAACCAAACCAAACCAAACCAAACCACCACCACCCCAATAATATAAAAAAAGAAAGGGGCTGGGCTATGTTGGGATACAGATCTCTGAGATCGAAGCCAGTCTGGCCCTGTAGAGTGAGTTCCAGGACAGGCAGGGCGGCACACAGAAAACCTGTCTCAAAAAACAAAACAAAACAAAAAAACCCACAAAAAACAAACAAATAAAGGAAATTTTTTGTCCCAAAGATTTTTGACCATCACTTTTTGGTCCTATAAATAGGTAACTGTCCATCATGTTTGACCCACAGACCTTACAAAGAATAGTCTGATCTTTTTCTAGACTTCAGCCTTGCCTAAGTTTAAACGAGAAGATATAAAGTGACCTAACATCCTTATCTAACTCAAAGAACAAGGCTATTTTCCCCTTTGCCCGACTTTCCTTTTTGCTGAGAGCTGCCAAGATTTTCAAGTTGCCTATCTTTTCCTTTCTTTAAAAAATTATCACATTTATTTAATACGTGTGTGTGTAAATACATTTACACACTCGAGGATCAGAGAGCACCTGCAAGATCAGCTCTATTGTACCATGTGGGTCCTAGGGATTGAACTCGGATCACCAGACTTGGCAGCAAGTACCTTTACCCACTGAGCCATCTCACCAGCCCCTCTTCTTTTTTCCCTTTTTCGGTTTTTTTTTTTTTTTTTTTTTTGAGACAGGGTTTCTCTGTGTCTTCCCGGCTGTCCTGGAACTCGACCAGGCTGGCCTCGAACTCAGAAATCCTCCTGCCTCTGCCTCTTTTTTCTTAAAAGATAAAAAAAGAGATTTTTTTATGTGTATGGGTGTTTTGTTTGGGTGAATGTCTATATATGATGTATATGCCTGCTGGTCTTTGAGAACAGAAGGCACCAGATCCTCTGTAAATGAAGGTACAGATAGTTGAGCTGCTGTGTGGGTGCTGAGACTTGAACCCAGATCCTCTGGAAGAGTACCCAGGGCTCTTGAATACTGATCATACCCAACTCTCTTGTTGTTTTTATTAACCCTAATAAAACTGCCCTTGAGCTTCTCACTGAATACACTCACAAATATTCCATTTATTTAATCTATTTTATGTGTATTACATGTTTTGGTTACATGTATGTATGTATATCATGCATGTGCCTGGTGACTAAAAAGGTTAAAAAAGGGTGTCAGTTGCCCTGAAATGAATGGTGGGCTATCATGTGGGTATAGGAAACCAAACTTGAGTACTTTGAAAAAGCATTTAAATGCACTTAACTGCTGAGTCAACTTTTCAGCCCCTTAAATTCTCTCATTAACAAGACTAAGAACCAAAAAGGGAGATTCCAATTTCTGTAATAATGTATGAATGGTACCAACACAGGACACTCAAAGTTTCTGCTAATACTAGGCACTCCTTCTCCTCTGCTTCATCTTTTTAAACCATTAATGTTATTTGTATATTTGCCTGGGTGTATGCATATGCACCACATGTGTGCAGGAATCTGAAGAAGTCAGAAGAAGGCATCTAACAGATACCATGGAACTGGAGTTACAAAGCAATCGTGATCCACCTCGTGGGTGCTGAGAATCAAATTTGCATCTTCAGTAAGAACAGTTAAGTGATTTTAACCTGTTTCTTTTTTTTTTTATGTACAGGTACATTCCACTATTATTTTAAGACTGAAAACTGAGAGCCAAGTGTGATGGCACACACCTTTAATCCCAGCACTCAGGAGGCAGAGGCAGATGAATCTCTGAATTCAAGGCCAGGTGAAACTTTGGTCTACAGAGTGAGTTCCAGGACATATCTACAAATCAACTTTTCTGGTTTACTGAGATAAACAAACCATTCTTTCATGAAGGCAAAAGATTCCTGTAAGACAAACAGCTTGTTTATTTTTTTGTTTTGTTTTGTTTTTTTTTTTTTTGGTTTTTTGAGACAGGGTTTCTCTGTGTAGCCCTGGCTGTCCTGGAACTCACTCTGTAGACCAGGCTAGCCTTGAACTCTCGAACTCAGAAATCTGCCTGCCTCTGCCTCCCAAGTGCTGGGATTAAAGGCGTGCGCCACCACTGCCCGGCTTGACAAACAGCTTGTTAACCCCTGCCCACCTCCACCCCCTTAATAGAAATCTAATAAAAATGTGACCAGAGAGATTATATCCTATGAGGGAGGGAGGGGGAGAGAAAGAGAGAGAGAGAGAGAGAGAGAGAGAGAGAGAGAGAGAGAGAGACAGAGAGAGAGAGACAGAGAGAGACAGAGAGAGATAGATAGATAGAAAGAACTGCTTACTAAGCACAAGTATAGGACACAACCACAGGAATACAAATGAGACAGTCTATATTCCTTTCTGTTATAGGTGAGAGTTATTTATGTATTTCAATCCTGAACAAAATACCAGCTAGCAGTCTAAATTCAATCAAAACAATAAAGTACATTTTATTTTCCAAGTTTGCTGGTAATAAATATTTATACTTTTATAGCTTTCTTTTTAGGAAGACAACACATGCTGGAGTACATTGAATATGGAAAAACTCATGTTGCAAGATCACCTGGTAGTATCAAACAGCCATCCTCAGAGACATTCACCTGATCTACCTCAATGATGTCCAGTATGCTCCTCAAAACACTACCTATTGTGCCAAGGATGAAGCAGTGCTCTCTAACGTCTGCACTTTGTAATCTTTGATACCAACCACCACCTTCTCCTCCACATGGACCTCCATAACCTCTTCCACCATTGCCCCCTCTTCCATCAAAATCTCACCTGCCCTGGAAAGTTCCTCTACCACTCCTTTCCCATGCTCCCCTGCCCACCACAGAACTCAAGTCGCCAATCAGGCAAGGCATAGGTGCCTTTACCTACTGAGCCATCTTGTTAAGGTTTTATCTTTTACTCTCTAGTGTAATGTGTGGAGAGCTTTTGGTGCTTCTTCTAAGAAACTGGCAAGATTATTTGACACTGGGCTAGGACAAAGAAGTAAACTCAAGGGGCTGGTGAGATGGCTCAGTGGTTAAGAGCACTGACTGTACTTCCAGAGGTCACGAGTTCAAATCCCAGCAACCACATGGTGGCTAACAACCATCTGCAATGATATCTGATGCCCTCTTGTGGGGTGTCTGAAGACAGCTACAGTGTACTTACATATAATAAATAAATAAAAATTTAAAAAAAAAAAAAAAAAAGAAGTAAATTCAAGAAAAATACAGCCGAGCAATGTGTCCCTTGTATCTTGATCATCTTGAATACGTCCCTAGAAACAGTGACCATGAGACTTTTGTTTATGCCTTGTTTGCTCCTTGACTACTGTGTTTAAGCTTTAGAACTGACCCTATTCTTTGTATGTACCTAGAATGATATAAAAGTAGAAAAATTAAAACTGGGAAAAATTAAACCTGCTTCAGCATTTTCTGGAATCATACTACAATGTTGTCTAATTGTCTTTTTTCCTTTACTCCTCACTACCTCCCTCGAGACCCTGTTGACTGAGCTGGTTTGGTTAGGTGGTGCCTCAATGTTAAAAGTACAAGGGGTTCAGTGAAGGACACCTGGGGAAAAGGAAATGAGCAAAGGAAAATAAAGAAAATTTGGGCCATTGGTGAGTAAGCCCTGTAAAAATGGGACAGGATAATGGTAGAAAGCTTTTTTGTACATATGCTTAGAGATGTGCTAAAATCAAGAGGAGGTCAGGAGACATCCTGCTTCTCTCTGGTTCCCAACAGGGGGATGCTTAGAGTGGTTCTGGGTCCCTTTGCTGGGACACCTGGTTCCCTTCCCTCTCTGTTTAATGTCTGTCTTTGGTGTGTCAGTCTGTCCATGTCTGTCAGTTTATGTCTGACATATGTGGTTTTGTTTTGTTGCTTGACTACTGCTCAGTGTTTCACATTCAAAAGAAAAATCAGTTAAAAACTTTATCTGCTGGAACATTTGGGTTTAGCAGGTGACAAGCTGCTCCTTCCTTGAAATTACAGCTAGAAAAAAATAAGAAAATTTTGTCTGTCCAGTCTAAATATGTAAATGTATGTAGCCATTTCATGTTTGTTTCTGGCTGTTCCTAAAAGTATAAATATGTTCTGTATGTCTTCATTATAGATTATTGGCTTATAAATTATTGGATATGGTTAAAAATTTGTAACATCAGTAACAGAAAGTTGGCTTAAAACTGATAACTCAGGGTTGGAGTCATTCTGGGCAACAACATACAGCATGGGCCAATCCAGGGAAAGAGGTCTCTAAAGGTATCTCTAAATTGGGATAATATTTTATGTAATTCTTGTCCTAGAAACCAGACTTATAAAAGATAGGATTTAAAACAATGTTGCTTAATGGGGTATTAAAAGCTGTACCACTGGCCGGGCAGTGGTGGCGCACGCCTTTAATCCCAGCACTTGGGAGGCAGAGGCAGGCAGATTTCTAAGTTCAGGGCCAGCCTGGTCTACAGAGTGAGTTCCAGGACAGCCAGGGCTACACAGAGAAACCCTGTCTCGAAACAAACAAACAAACAAACAAACAAGCTGCACCATTATGCATCCATATACAAGAGCTGGCGGCCACACTTTGTAACATGAAAATAATGTACTTGGTATTGATTTTAGAGAGACTAGATTGCTTACACTGTTAAAAATTGGTTTTGCCTTCCAAAATTATGGTTATGCTCTGATATTGCAAAAGAAACTTTTTAAAAAATATAGTTAAATATATATAAAGCTAATGGAACATTGGCAGTTTTCAATTCAATCACAAGCTCAAGATTTTTATTCCCCTTTGGTTAGTTTCTGAATAGAAACTTAAAGATGCTTCTTGTTATGCTTAAAACAGCTCTGTTACAAGGAATTATGGAATGAACCATGGAGCGCTAAAAAAATCAGTTATATAAAACAAACAAACAAACAAAGTGGAGTTGTATATGCCTTCACCACAAAATTTTATTTGTAATTTTTTGACCCTGGATGCCAAGGGACTCTGTGCTGCTGAGTGTCCATGGCGCCTGACGACTCAGCAGACTTGCGCCGAGATGAGAGAGAAGGATCCCCTTACTGGCATATGGCATGGTACTAATCAGCTATTAATATGGGGATGAGGGCATGTTTGTGTTTTTTTTTTCCCAGAATGCTGAAGGAGCATGGTGGCTGCCAGAGCGAATGGTGACATGCTGATGCTGGGACAAATAATGATGCTGACCTGTGAGCTTGCAGAGTGCCCTGACAATGGTGACTAGGAAGCTGTATTGGGCATATGTTCCCGACCCACCTTTGCTTGCCTATATCCCAGACTGGACAAGCTGCTTTGCCTCAAGCTTTTAGACTTTGTGGGACAGAGAACATGGAAACTGTGGAAACTGCCTTTGAAAAAATTAATCAAATAGAGAAATTGTTATAATGACCCTTCTTTTTCTTTTAATGTGACCAGTTATTCTGATTCAATCATGGACTACTCTGGAAATCAATGCAACACTGAAAAGATGGAAATGACCGTGGGCCTTTGGAAGGCTGGTTCTGGACATTTTCAGAAACATATTTGAAAATTGGCAGCTGCCTTGTATGATGTTATGTTTGCTGTGAATATAAATGGAACAGTTCTGGGGTTAAGGAAAATATAACATCCTGTGTTACCCTATCTAATCTTTTACTAATTGGGAATGTTATCTTTGTTATTGGCTCTGATAATGGGTTCAATGTCTCTTGTTTTAATTGTCTTTTGTCCAATTGTGTTTCTGTACTGGACGATGGTCTATCTGTAATGGTAGCACATCAACCAACTTCTATTATTATGATTCCTGTAAGTTTATCTGAACCTTGGTATTCTGAAAAAAGTTTACAAATATTAGAAGAAGGGAGTCAGGCTTTAAGAGGGCAGTGGCTTTGATTACTGTCGATATAGCAGCTTTGATTTCATTAATAGCTAGCACCACTGCTTCTGCAATTGCTTTGATGAAAGAAGTTGACAGCCACTTTTGTTAATTATTTAGCAAAAAACGTTACTAACACTCTGGGTAGTCAAGAAGATTTAGATAGGCATTCGGAACAACGAATTGAGGATCTCTATAACACTATTCAAATTATTGGAGAGGCGGTCCAGAGTTTAAGTGTAAGACACCACTTTGAATGTCATAAATATCAATGGATTTGTGTCATTTTAAAAATTTACAATGACAATCACTATAATTGGAAGAAAATTCAAAGACACTTGGAAGGTATTTGGCATGCTTCTAACACCTCTCTGCACACTGAGATTATGAATTTAAAGAATGCTGCTTAGCTGAGTTGTGATGCTGTGGACACTGCTGATAAAATTATTTAAGGCTTAAGGTCAGTATTTCCACTTGGTCAAGCTTCAAGAATGGCATATATAGTTTGATCATGTTAGCCCTTCTTGTCCTGGGAATATTTTTATTCCTGCCTATTTTGATAAAACTTGTCTTTAACGACATCAACACGCTAGCAGCCAAAATACATGGCTTGAAACTTAAAAATAGATCCCCAGACAGAGCCACTAGTTTAACAGGCTGGCAGTCAATGATGGGTAAGATTCTGCACAGGGCCTTATCAACCAAAGTGCATTGCCTTGGATAATGCATTTTCAGTGAAGGTAAGGGAAGGCATTCTGGTCAGAGCAACCTAAAACAGATGCAGTCTTGTTTATGAAATAAAAAAGAGGGGAATGTGGACAGCTTTTGGTTTCTAGTCATTTGGCAAGAATATTTGACATTAGGCTAGGACAAGGAAGTAAACTCAAGAAAAATAGAGCTAAGGAATGTGTTCCTTGTATCTTGATCATCTTGATAGGTCCCTAGAAACAGTGACTACTGCATTTATGCCTTAGAACTGACCCTATTCTTTCTATGTACCTAGAATGATATAAAAGCAGACTGGAGAAATTAAACCTGCTTCATCATTTGCTAGAGTCATACTATAAATGTTGTCTAACTGGGTTTTTTTTTTTTTCTTTAATCCTCACTCCCTCCCTCGAGACTGTTGACTGACTGAGTGGGCTTGGTCAGTAATGCTAAATGCGGACCCCGAAGACCTGGAGTCTGCACACAACCCCTGTGACCCTGCCCCAAGTTATTTCTGATTGGTAAATAAAGATGCCAACAGTCAATAGCTGAGCAGAAGAAACATAGGTGGGATTGAGGTTTCCATACTTGGGGTTGGAGGAGAAACAGAGAATGTGTAGGAAGGAGAAGGAGAGGCCATCATGGGATAAGAGTCAAGATACCAAGATCCTAGGGCTGCCCAATTGGAGTTAAGAGATGGAACATAGTGAATAGTAAGTAATAACTCGGGGTTATTGATAGGAAAGTAGATTCTAACAGCATGGAGGCCAGGCAGCTGCCCAGCTCTTGTGCTGCTCAAAGCATATTGTAATATAAATAAAGGCTGTGGGCATGCTTTTCATCTGGGAACTCAAAAACCAAAGGAGGTCTGGGCCGGGATTTATTAATAATTTCTACTACACTATCACGCTGCCCCAGTTTTTTCTTTTATAATGATCTAACACAACACATGAAGGAAACATTGTTAAAGTCAATGGCTGACATGTCTAATCATTTGGCTAAATAGGGCTTCCAGGCCACAACCTTGGTATTGGACACCTCTATTCACTCCTTACAGAATGAGTCCCTTTACTTAAGCCCAGGTATGTCTAATTCTTTAGTCATTATAGGCCAGATGCACACACCACTGACATTTCAAATGTTTGAGGCTTACCCACACCTGACTAGGCATAGTGAGAAGTCAAAATCACTAAAACACAAAGGTGACAAAAACTGTGGATTACTTTCAGCTATCCTGGAATGAACGTGCCTAAGCCAATACAGACTTTAAATATAAATTTTAAAATATAAAATAATAGGTTTAATGGGCTAAACACTCCAATAAGAGAGTATTATAAATACAAATTTGAACTCATCAAATTCCTAGACCAGGTTTACTAAATTAAAAATACTCAGAATAGTTGTGATAGAGCAGAAAGAACAGAAAACAGTTATGTAAGGGGAAACCAGAGTTCATTTTCCAGTTCTATTTCAAGTGAGGTCCTCTGTAAATCACTTGACTTTCTGAACCTCAGATTACAGGTATATAACTGGCAAAAGCCCATAAACTATAACATTCAACCTAAGATAGAATCCATCAAGACTTGCTTGTTTTGTCAATTACCTACCTCCAGCGGAGCTTTCTCTGAAGTAGAACGCCCTAAATGGAACAAAGGTCACATTTACTACAAATATTTCATCTTAGATTGTGACATAGTTTTGTTGACAGCAAAGCTGCACTTCTTACACACAGGCCACCATATTGTACTGAGTTCCCATTTAACTACAGGTTAAATGATCACCAAGAACTGTATGGCTACTCCTACCAGCGACTGCCTTTTGCAGCATTCTTGCATTTCTGTAGCCTTTTTCATTTGGACCAGAAAGTAAACTGTTTCTCTTATTTGAATGGGTAATTCAAAAATAGATGTTCCACAATTTGCAACAAGTCATTCAACTTCCAAACCTTGCATGAGAAATTGGCTAAGTCAGACAAAGGATTATAGGACTTGGAGATTGTTCTAGGTGTCCTCCTCAATTCTCACAGTATAGGATTATAGGACTTGGAGATTGTTCTAGGTGTCCTTCTCAATTCTCACAATATAGGATGACATAGATGACTTTCTGCCTTTTATTGACTGATAGGTATAGATATATTAAAGTAGGTGAGATTTTAAAATTGCATTCTGTTAAATAAATTTTCCAAGTAGAAAGGAAGAAAATATATGAAAAATTCACTTAGATTAAAAAAAAAAAAAAAGCAGCACACACAGATCACCTGATGGTGTCTTACCTTTGCTTTTTTGAGCGGTGTTTTTCGTGATTTCAGGATCATTTGAGTCAAGTGGGTCAATTTTTCCTGATGTTTTTGCTAGTTCTAAAGCTTTAAAGAATAAAAAAAAAAGCACCTTTGTTGATCAACAGACAAAGAGGGAAGTAGTTTTCACTTATATGAACTCCTTAAAACTAAAATCTGTATTACTTTTATCAGAAAGATATATAAACCACCCATATTAAGAGTATGGCTTTTAAAAAAGCCTTTAAGATGTCTTCCCAAAATGTTTTTATCTTTAAAAACATTACATTCACTCATTTGTATTTGTGTGTGTGTGTGGGGGGGGGGTGTTTGTATGCCACAGTGTGTAATATGAAGTCAGAGAAGTTAGTTTTCTCTTTCCAAAATGAGGGTCTTGGAGATCAAGTTCAGCTTGTCATGTTGTGTGGCAGATGCCTTTACCCACTGAGCCATCTAATGTCTTCCTAGCATCTAAATTTCCCAACTGTACACAAATTTCTCAAACAGCAAAACAGAAAGACTTACTTGAACCTCTACCAACAGCTTTACACCTTCTTTTCTCCTTTGACATGTTTATAAACGATAAACATCTCTTATTTCTTGTCTTTGTTTGTTTTGAGACAGGGTTTCTCTGTGTGGCCCTGGGTGTCCTAGAATTCACTCTGCAGACCAGGCTGGCCTCGAACTCAGAAATCTGCCTGCCTCTGCCTCATAGACTTGTGCTATGCCCAGCCCTCCTTCCTTTTCTTATCATATATATTACAGCCACAACCTCCTTAGGTGTACAAGGGCAACAAGTTGGGATCTAAACACCAAGTAAAAACTATATGCAGTTAAAGTTATATTTTAACATTCTTAAGCTTTCTATGAAGTATGATGTTCCTGGGCTTAAAAGTGTACATACGAATGATGCATAAAATATAATATGGTGTTGAACAGATGGCCATTTCTTTGGGTAAGCACCAGATGAAATGGTTGGCTTTTAGGAGATATTTTAAATAAAACGTCTAATCTTTGTTTCAACAATACTTACTCTCACACCGTGACAATCGTGTGGAGCCTCCGTGAGGGAACAGATTTGCATCCCTGAGTGTATGACTCACACAATAGTGTACATTAATCAAATTATCTTACTTCTTTTATTCTTTTTATAAATTATCTTCATCACTTCTAATTATGTAATTATATATGTGTTGAGTACAGATGCCCACATGGCTGGGGTGCAAGACACCCCACAGTTGGTGTTATGGTGTTTGTGAGCTGCCTGGTCAGGGTACTAGGAACTAACCCTGGGTCCTCTGCAAAGGCAGTACATACTTTTAGCTGCTGAACCATTTCACCAGCCTACTTCTTTTATTCTTTAAATGGAGAAAGTATAGCTGTATTTAAATTTCAGCTATTTTACTGGCCTATATGACCATATTTATCTTCTGATCTTGAAATTTAGCTAAGATATTCACAACTTCCACAGCACTTCTCTTTCTTAATTTCCTGATCTATAAGTCATTGTGTGGTTTGTGGTTGTTGTTGTTGTTATAGTTTATTTGCTTTTTATGGTCTTGCTTTTTGAGACTTCCTTTGCTTTTGGTCAGAGAGGCTTCTTTTTTACAGTAGATAGTTGTGATTACAGGGGTTTGTAAGGGCCTAAGTACTAGGAATAAGTGCACACTCAGTGCTCAGCCATCCAAGTGTCTCTGCCTCCAAGGCTCAGGCACCACCTCTGCAAGAAGGCAAGAGCTGCAGCTCTGTGATTAACCCATCTCTTCTTCACGGCCCTCATCCTTTGCAGTGTTCTAGGTGTGCCTGGGGGTCAGCCTGTGGGCCCCTCTAGAATATCTAACATTTGGATTAAAAGGCTCTGATTCACTGGATGGAGGGCGGGGGAAGGAAAACTATCAACATAATGTCATACGCTCATGCAACTAGCAGAGATCCTTTTGGTTTCATATGGACATAAAAATGGATGTTGTAAGGTAGGCTCCCACTGTTCAGCTCCAGTTAGCCTTCAAGTCTACCGTCTTCCTGCCTCAGCCTCCTGTGTAGCTGGAATTACAGGTACATGCCACCGCTTCCTGCCTTCTATCTGATAATAAGTGCAAAGGAAACAGTGAGACGGGAAGTAAAGTAATTTCTATTGATCTTCAAGGATTGGCATCACCATCTTCCATGATTCAACCCCAGAGAATGCCTTTCTACTTTGAACAACCAGTGTAACTTGTAAGTAACATGATGGAGACTGGGTAGAAACAGAATGGTGTAAGATTTGAAATCTAAACTTGGCTCTTCAATGTGTCTGTAATTTTAGTACACATCACGATACTCTAGATAGACAGGCAACAGACATATATTACACAATGCATTGACCCTGGCATATCGTACTTGGTCAATAATAACTTCTACTGTTATTATATACATAACTTTCTTTTTAAGTGACAGCAGCTCAGGATGTCTTTGAACTTGTGATACTCCTATCTCTATGTCTACAGTGTTGGAATTCTAGGTGTATGACATCATACCAATAAATGGCATCATTCTTTAAGGAAATGTCTCATTCTCTAAATTCTAAGAACCATTGATTTCATCATTCTTTTAATATAGTAAGATGATAATCAGGAGACTGTGGTGTTAAGTCTAAAATGACTATAGAAGACAGACAGTAACATACCCAATTTAGTCATCTCTTGAGGGTGTTTTCTATGTTGAAAAGAATAAACTTTATTCCTATCATCTACAGCAGAGCCGTTTCCCAAGGATTCTGAAAAAGAAAATGTAACATGCACTGAGGAAAAGGTTAAGAAAAAAGATACAGTTTTAAATAGCTAAAATCTAAGTTATATTCCTTACTACCTTTCATAAAAGCTTACCATCAGATATTTATATACAAAATATTTTCACATACACAAGGAAACCGACTGATCTTGTGTACTTAAATTTTAACACAAGAAACATACTATTTATAGATTTTTCTCTAGATTAGAGAGATTAATATGAGAATTAAATCACGTAGGTAAAACTATGAGCTGTGAAGGACCAACAGTAGACGTAAAGTCTATCTTCACTAGTTCTGTTACCCTAGCAAAACAAAACCTGACTTGGAGAAATGGGTCAGTGGTTAAAAATGCTTCCTCCTCTTCTAGAGAATCTGAGTTGGACTCCCAACACCTGCATCTGGTAGCCCATAGCAGATCCAATGCCCTCCACACACCCACATACCCGCACAACCATAAATAAAATAGAGTCTGAAAAAAAGAAAAAAAATCCCTGAAGTAAAGAACTTTATAAATAAAAGGTGTTCTTTCTTCCTGGACATGTAGCTAGCAAGAGCTCCCTGATAAAAGCTCCCTTGGTTGTGCCATTCAGAAAGTCAAGAAGCTTGAGAGCCACCCAGGGGACACTTTTTTTTTTTTTTTAAATATCCTGCTTTTGCAAGGGCTATCTTAATTCATTCTAATGGTAAGTATAGCACAGTCCAATCTACACAAGGATAGCTACTTCAGTGCTATCTCTCTTAAGGTAGCTTGCCTCAGGTGACTTAACTCCTATTAGACCTTGTCAGTTCCCAACATCACTGCACTGGGTACCACACTTCTAATCCATAAACCCTTGGGGACATACCACAGCATATGTTCTTAGTGAACAGACTTTCTTCTTTTCTTACTCTTCCTAAAAATTCTGTGTTAGAGCCAGATGTGGTGGTATATGCCTGCAATTCTAGCACTCGTGAGGAGACAAGATGATCAGTAGTTCAAAACCAGCCTAGGCTACATGATACCAAGTCTCAAAATGGCAATGCAGGAAAAGGAAAGATCCTTTGTTAAATGTCCCTCTGTGTTTTAAAAGTTAGGCCAGCAAGATGGTTCAGTGGGCAAAGGCACCTGCCACCACAAAGTCTGACAGCCTGACTTTGATCATTGAAACCAACATGTCGAAAGGAGAGAATGAACCCCCCCAAGTTGCTCTCTGATTTCCACATTTGAACACACAAAATAAACAAATTATAACTTTTAAACTGTTGGTTTTGTTTATTTGATTGTTTTTTAAGCCAAAAAAAAATCCAAAACACTAGTGTTTTCTGTTATGTCAAAAGAGAGCTGGGGGAAAACTTCCACAGTTAAGAATGTTTTCTAGAGTCTTGGAGAGATGTCTCAGTGGTTAAGAGCACTAACTGTTCTAGAGGTTCTGAGTTCAATTCCCAGTAACCACACGGTGGCTCACAACCATCTGTAATGGGATCTGATGCCCTCTTCTGGCATGCAGGCATACATGCAAGCAAAACATTGTATACATAATAATCTAAATTGAAAAAAAAAAAAAAAAGAATGTTTTTATGTAATCATGAGGATTGGAATTCAAATCCCAGCAACCAAGATGTAGTGGCACATTCCTTTAATCCCAAGTACTTCAGAGGCAGAGGCAGAGGCAGAGGCAGGAGAACTTTGTGAGTTCTGAGTTCCAGGCTAGCCATAGCTACACAGAGAAATCCTAGAAAAGCCAAAAATAAATAAACAGATAACAAAAGAAAGATAATTAAAAAAATTCTTGAATCAGGTTAAAATAAAACACTAAGATAAATGCAGAAAACGCTATTTTCTACATATTACCTGGAACTCTACCCTCTACCTCTAAACATGTGTTGGCAAATAACAGGAAAAAAAATTCATGACGGGCATGGTTGTGTAATCTTTCAATCCCAGAACTGGGGAGCTGGAAGGAGGTGAATCTTCTTGAGTTTTAGGTCAGTGGGGTAGAAGGCAAAGACTAAGATATAAGAGGGCTGTGGTCTAGATCAACGGAAAAGCATCTGCCCAGCGTACCAGAGCTTGTGTTCTACCCCCAGCACTGTAAGAAAGATGATTTTAAAATGTTTTTAAACCTGTTGACTACATCTAGACATGTTAGAACAATATCTTCTTTAGGAAGTTTGCTAAAGAAATAACGAATGTATCTAAAGCTTTAGCACAAAAATATAGCAAAAGACTGGAATTCCCACTTGTTCTAACAATAGGGAACAGGTTAATTGAGCTGTTTGTATTTTAATGCTAATTGTGTTCCCCAAAACTGTTTGCATGAGAGGGTCTGTCTGCAGCTTTTGAGAACTTGCCCTCAATTAATTCTGATTGGTAAATAAAGATGTCATAGTTACTCAAAAGTTGCTTACAAGATCTGGGCCCGGCAGTAAATGCCTTTAATCCCAGTACTCAGGAGACAGAGGCAGGAAAATCTCAGTGAGTTTGAGGCTGACCTCAAAAAAACAAACAAACAAACAAAACCCAAACCATCAGCAATAAAAACCCAGCACCAGCACTGTGAGCATGCCTAGGTGAGAGCAACACTACTTGGATGAATTTTCCTGCTTCTACAGAGAGAACCAAGGAAACAATAAAAGGACCTAATTTGTAAATCCATTTTCAAATGTCATTGTCCTTCTTAGTCAGGGTTTCTATTCCCGCACAAAACATCATGACCAAAATGCAAGCTGGAGAGCAAAGGGCTTATTCTGCTTACACTTTCAAATTGCTGTTCATCACCAAAGGAGGTTAAGACTGGAACTCAAGCAGGTCAGGATACAGGAGCTGATGCAGAGGCCATGGAGGGATGTTTCTTACTGGCTTGCTTCCCCTGGCATTCTCAGCTTGCTTTCTTATAGAACCAAGGACTACCAGCCCAGGGATGGCACCACCCACAAGGGGCCCTCCCCCTTGATCACTAATTGAGAAAATGCCTTATAGCTGAATCTCAGAGGCAGCTCCTTCCTCTGTGCTAACTCCAGCTTGTGTCAAGTTGACACAAAAAACCAGCCAGTACAGTCACTATCTTCTGCTTCCCTATCTCCATGAAGGAAGAGTTCTCTTCTGCACATGCTACCAACCCCCATGATGTCCCACCTACGAGCATTGGAACAAGGAACCACAGTCTAAATTCTGCCCAATAGCATGGCCCCAAGAAACCATGGATTGAATCCTCTGTATCTGTGAACTGAAATAAACCTTTTCTCCTGTAAAAGCAGTAACATGCCTGTCTGTGGCATGATGGAACATGTCTATAATCACAACTACTCAGGAGGCTGTGCTGAAGACGGTCACAGATCAAGGACTGGTTATTTCTCTATTAAAAAAAAATTGTTGGGGGCTGGAGAGATGGTTCAGTAGTTAAGAGCACGCACTACTCTCGTAGAAGAGCTGAGTCCTGGTCCCAGAACTACTTCGGGAGGCTCACAGCCACCTATAACCCCAGCTGATGCCCTCTTTTGGCCTCCAATGGCACTTGCACATTTGCACACACACAATTAAAAAATCAGACCTTACAAATTACACCAAAACAAGTAACTTAAAAGAAATGCCGTTAGATTTGACACACAGCTGTACTATATGACTTTCTAGTCTACTGAGTTATTTCTGTGCATTCTGAAAGCAGCTCATGCTACAGCCGAAAGCTGGGTGTGTGTCACCCCGACTGGATACCTTGAATATCTCTTCCCAAGACTTCCACGTAGTTCTGATCCTTTAAGACTTCCAGGTCACTTTTCTCCAACGCACATTCTGCTTTCTTTATTACTTTCTGGGGATTGACCAAAAGCTGCGCTTTCTCCTTCTTTAATTTAGTTCCTGTAAAAATATACAAAACACTAGAACACAGGGGGTGTGGATTCTTTCCTAACTATTACATTAGAGTTACCCAGATGGCTGCTTGGTGGGTAAAATGTGCACCACACCAGCCTAGTGGAAGGAGAGAATCAATTCCAGAGAGTTGCCCTCTGACCACCGTGCATGTTACATACATGTCAGCAGACAAACTACACTAAACGCATGGTCAGTACATAAAGCTGTGGGGGTAGTCAATGCTTTTTCTTTCATTAAAAGTACTTAGTCATAGGCTAGAGAGATGGTTCAGCAGTTAAGAGTGCTTGCTGCTCTAGTAGAGGACCTGGGTCCAGTTCCTAACAGCCACATAGTGACTTACAAGTGTCTATAACTCTAGCCCTAGGGTATTCCAATGCATTGTTCTGACCTCCGTAAGCACCAGGCATATATGTGGTATATAGACATATAGGCAGTCAAAAACCCATAAACAGGGCTGGAGAGATGGCTCAGTGGTTGGGTGCGCTGACTTCTCTTCCAGAGGTCCTGAGTTTAATTCCCAGCAATTACATGGTGGCTCTGTAATGGGATCTGATACCTTTTTCTGGTGTGTCTGAAGAGAGCAATAGTGTACTCATATGCGTAAAATAAATAAATCTTAAAAACAAATCAACATTAAGAAAAAAATATATGTAACTAAGTTAAATGCACACACACGCCTCTAGAATTTAGAGTTAATGAGTAGTTATTTTCCACAGCTACTAAGCATTTCATATTAGTTAAGGTTATACTGCCTTACAGTTAAATTTCAAAAGAAGCAAACTAAAAATCAGAGCAGTCTTACTAGAGTCAATATTGTGTATTATAGGAACAGCATGATCCATAAGTATCTTTCAACTGTACAATCATACATACCTCCTTCTCTATCCAGAATGTGACTAAGAACATCATCGTCTCCCACAAACTGAACACTTGGCACCTTAGCCTCCCTTGACTGCAGTGTGCTCATTGTGGCCAACCTAAACAAAACCAGTAAGTCAGTGTGATGAAGGGGCCACACCAATGGTCAGGTTAATTAAACTTATTTGTGAAATGAACACACAGACTTACTTAACATTTTTATAGGTAGGACCATACTATGCATTATTCCATTTGTATGTCTCTCAACGATGGCCTGAGATTGAGACACATAAGCCAAGCCCTTTCCTCCCCAGCTTGCTTTTGGTCAAAGTCTTTACCAAAGCAACAGAAAACCAAACCAGGACATGCTCTCAGAAACCCCATATTTACCTTCCCTTCTGGAATACCAGAACAAAAACAAACAAACAACACCCCCCACACACACACAAAAAAAAACCCACCAAAAACCTAATGGTTCTCTCTCACAACTTATTTATTACACAGATAAATATTGCTAATTTTTTAATAACCAGCATAATTAAATGGCTTTTTCTTTTACCTTGTAAGGTGCTATGCATGCTGCAGCTTGAACATCCAGTCACCTGTAACTAGAAGTCAATCAAGATCAGGTAGTAAGTGAAGGAAAGCACTCCCTCCCAAAGCGAAGAGTTTTAACTAACAGCATGATGTGCAGGTAATTATTCTCAAGAAGCTAAAACTGCTACGGTGGCCAGGACAGAACAGAACAGCAATAGGCTAAGAAACATGAAAAATGTCTAGACAGGTAAGAGGCAGGTCAGAGGAGGAAACCTAAGCACACACTATGAATTTTGTTTTCTGCCTTAGCGTTGTTATGTAGCCAAGGCTAGCCCTGAGCTCAAAATTCTCCTGCTTCTGCCTCCCAAGTGCTGGAATTATAAGTGCCACCAAACCTAACTCTTTACAAGTATTCTAATTTAACACTGGGAGCTCTAAGAGGTTACATTTTGTAGGGAAAAATAATAACTATTTCATCTAGAGAGTCAGAACCAGGCCAGGCAGTGGTGGCACACGGCTTTAATCCCAGCACTTGGGAGGCAGAGGCAGGTGGATTTCTGAGTTCGAGGCTGGCCTGGTCTACAGAGTGAGTTCCAGGACAGCCAGGGCTACACAGAGAAACCCTGTCTGGGGGGGGGGGGGGGAAGAGAGTCAGAACCATATCTAGCAAACGATGTTCTTCTTGGGTCATTTTAAAAATAATCTGAGTATATTAGACAAAATGTGTAATGCAGCTATATGATACGTCTATGAAGAAACTAACAATTTACATGTGAATAAAAAGGATTTTTGTTGTTTTGATACATTATGTAAGATACTATATCAGGTACCTTTAGATACCCTAGAAACTAGGTATAAGTCAATTTATACATTTATACATTTTTGTCTATGTGTGTAATTACTCTACTTTATAAATAAGTAAACTTGTTGGTTAAATACTGAACAATTCACCAAAACTCAGACAATTTAGAGACCCAGTTTTGACTGATTCTTAAGTTCCCATCAGCTGATTATGAAGCTTGTTTCTTTTTCATTTACCTTGTAAAGCACTTCTTGCCACTGGATAAAAATCTTACCCTAAGTACATGTTTTGCTTTCTGAAAACTACTCATAACATGTCATCACAAAACAAAACATTTGGCTCTGAGAGTAAAGTGTGGGGAAGGGTCAGACTACAGAAAGAATGTTATCTAATTAGCAAAAGATAAATAATTCTTGAGATTGAGTTTTCAAAGACTCTTGTAAAAATACTCTGAGAACTAAATATTACCACAGGCCATTTCCCTATGGTGGTTTAGTGTTTATGTGTAAGTGCAGAGGTCAGAGGTCAACCTCTGGTGTCTTATTCCTCAGGAGTCATTCATCTCATTTTTTGAGACAGGGTCTCTCAATAGCCTAGAACTCGTAGATTAGACTGGTTGAACAGCAAACCTCGGGAACCACTTGTCTCTGCCTCCCTAGGACAGCAAGCTCCCCATGCTACCATTTTTTTAACGGTGGTTCTAGGGATTGAACTCTGGTCCTCATGCTTGCAAGGCAAGCACTTTACCAACAGAGCTATCTCTCTAATACCTGTTGCATTTTCTTTTACTTTGTTTTTGTTTTGTGTAAAACAGTTATCTCATGAGTCCCAGACTGGCCTCCAACCATGTAGCCAAAGATAACCTTAAACTTCTGTTTCTGCTTCCAGCTCCCCCGTGCTAGGTTATAGGCCTGTGTTTCCATCACTAGCATCCGCCATGCTGGGGATGGAGCTGAGCTAAGCCAACCACTTCATCAACTGTACTACATACACCACTAGTCTCTTAGTTAACTTTTTGTGATGGGCTTACTTTATAACACAAACCAGCTTTGAACGCATGATTTGACAGCCTCAGTTTTAAGAGTAGTAGGGTCACAGCTATGTCCCATACCCAGATCTAGCATTAATCGGTGGTGAGTTTGCCCTGTGTGGTCAAGGCATGAATCCTTGCTGTAAACTTACTTAAACACATTATGAGTGTTTTGGTTTTCTTACAATTTTTTTTGTAACTGTATTGTGATGTTCTCAGTAACAAACTTTGTAGATGACAGCAACACTCTAAGTCAAAAGGGCTGGATATGCCTGCTCGGTCTTGTTTGTACCCAAATGCATTTATACATCTCCGATTTTTAAGATATCTTACATAATACAAACAAAACCACCGCAATTGAAATTTCTACCAAGACCTCATAAGAGAATGTTCCCTTCTTTCCCACAATTCCTCAGAAAAACACTACCTAACAAATACACAATGAGGCTGACTAGACAGCTCCGTGGATAAAAGCACTTGTCCTGCAAATGTCAGAATGGGAGCTGAGATCCTAGTAGCCATTCAAAAGATGAGGAGTGCTCAGAACTGAGGAGGCGGAGAATGGGGATCCATATGAGGCAAGCTGGCTAACCAACAAGGACCTGGTTTCAGTAAGACACAGCCTCTGTTAAAAGCGATTCAGGAAGACATCTAAAATTAACACACACTACTCGCACATATGCACCAACATCCACACGAATGCACAGACCCACAATCAACCGATGAAATACAGATATTCCTAGTGTGAGCATCTATAACGGATAGTGATTATCTATAGGGTTAAAGGGTCAATTCTCTTCACAGTCAACTACAAGGCAGCACCAAGTGTTTGCAGCTACACACTTTCCTCTGGGAGTAAACACCAAGCATTGTCCCAAGGAGATCGTTAGGGACTCCCGGCCGGGATGACAGAACAGACAGAGTTCCCTCTCCTCTGGCAGAACACTGCCATTTTCGTTACAGTTCCTTACAATTCTCTTTCCAAATAAAGGGCCGAGTTAGCCGGAAAGCAGGAATGGTCCGCGCAGGAGACCTCTCGCTGCAGGACAGACTTGGCTTTCACAGACAGCGCCTCTCACGAGTGAGGCACCCCAGAGGGGCTGCTCCCCGGCATCCCCCAGCCTGCGCTCCGCGGCCTCATCATCTCCCGCCACGGTGGGCGAGCGGCGAGGCCACAGGTGTCGGGGGAAGCGCGCAGGGAGCCGCGGCTGCAGCAAGGGGGCATCGGGACTCACCTCTCGAGTCAGAGCCGGAAAGAGGGAGAAGGTCCGCGAGGCTCACACGCGCGGCCAGCCAGGACGCCGCCGCCGCAGGGCACCCTAGAACGGCCTGGGAGGCCGGCGTCTACGGTAAGATCCCACTGGCACAAGCCGAACCTCCGAGCCCAGCAGAAGAAGGCAGCTGCGCGCAGCACACCGAATTCCCGTCGCCGGTGGGCGGTGCCCTAAGAGACCAATGGGAAGCCGAGTCGCCAAGAGCGACGGCGCCGCAAGCCGGTTGACTCAGGCCATAGGACCTCGTTCAGCCGGAAAACAGATCCTCCCACCACCACCACCACCAATAGTGGGTTCCGAGGCGTTCTTCGTCTCTTCCGTTTCCGTTTCCGGGTGAAGGGACCAGACGCGGAGCACGCTGGAACGTTCCTCCTGGTTGAGAGACAAGTATGAGCTAGATGTCTGAAGTTTAGGGGAATGTTCCCGGTTGTACGATTGGTTGGTGTTTTATGTCAATCTTAACGTTGTTAGTCTAACTACTCTGAGGAAAAAAGATAATGAAAATGGATTCGCTTGAGGAACAGCACATAACTCTTCTCATTTGATGCAGAGGGATCTCAAAGGTTTGAGGGAGGGCGGAGCCAGAGCATGAATGAGAAAATAGACCATACAACTAATGAGACGAAAGGGGGGCTTATTCAGAAAAAAATGAGGGGGAAAAGAAATGAACCTAGCTGGGATACATGAAAATATTTGTTCACTAACAGGACTGTCATTTGGATTCGCTTATTACAAACAAAGTACCATACTTAGTACCAACAGTAAGAATACAATACTCAAGTCCAGGCACCTCTGAATAACTGAGCTTCTGGGTAATTGAACGAGAAGATACTGATCAGACAGTATTGGGGAAAGTGCTACAATAAGGCAGCTGAATACCTACGTACACGTTCTTGCCGACGGATATAAACACACACAGGCTAGAAATTCTATGTCTAGGGAGCACAGCAGTGCAATCCTAGAGAACAATCCCAAAGTTCCAACCTTTATCATTTCTTTGGACTCTGAAAATCAAGCTCACAACTTGGGTTATCTTAACACCACCTTGAGGTTAGGTTTTTGGTTTTAAGCATATCAAGGCCTGTCCTGGGCTGGGTTGGTGACTGGGCTGCCAGGTGGCCTACCAGTGGTTTACTTCTAGGACTTGCCAGAGGAAACTTCTATCTCACATGCATTGCATTATTTCAAGTCACACAAAATGGTTTCTAAGTTCCCACAAAATGGTTTCTAAGTTCCAGAGAATGACTTTTAAGTTACGTTCCTAACAGCAGGGCACAGGATTATATAATTATAAGACCAGAAGGAATCAGGAACACTTTCCATAAAGGAAGAGATCTGGAAACTAAGGACTGAATTGATTTAAATTTTCCAGGAAGAAAGGCAAAATGAAAATAGATGAATAAAGTGTCAAAGTCTCTGATATTATGAATTACAAGTTGATACTTAGGGCACTGGTCACATTTGTATTGAAAGAATATAATAGTGGGAAGGAAGAAATGGAGTCAGACTTTTTGGAAGCTGTTTAAAGCAGTGGTTCTCAACCTTCTAATGCTGTGACCCTTTAATACACTTCCTCAGGTTGTGGTGACCCCCAGCCATAAAGTTATTTTTGTTGTACTTCATAACTGTAATTTTGCTACTGTTATGAATCATATATTTCTGAAGATAGAGATTAGCCAAAGGGGTTGTGCCTCACAGGTTGGGAACCACTGGTTTAAAAACTTCAGTTGAGAAATGTGAGGATAGTTTTGATATATCAGTATTTCACTTTTGTTGGAGAAAGTATGTAATCTGGACCAGGATTGTTCAATTCCCAGATAAAACACACATACAACCTTTTTAAACCTTAAACAGCACAAGAGCTGGGCAGATACCTACCTTCTATGCTATTAGAATCTACTTTCCTATAGATACCTGAGTTATTACTTACTATGTTTCATCAATAAGAGAGAATTCATGTCAGATACTGCCGAAGGGCCCCAACTTGACAAGACAGACTCCATCTTATAACCAGGCCTCCATTTTTTACACTAGGCCCTGTCCTAAGGTTAAACTCTAATTATTGAAAAAAACAAAAACTGTTCCAGGAAGGAACCACCCTAGGTATGGGCCACCAGCAAGAAAATACCTAATGTTCTATATCTATATAGATAGATATAAACTGCTTAAGCCAACTGAAATCATTGTTAGCCAATCATATAACTGCCAAGTTGATAAGTCCCTCACCCTACTCTAAATAAAAAAGGTTGAACCTTAGGTGATTGAGGCTTTCCGTGCTACCCCACTTTGTCAGAGCTCAAGCTTGAATAAAAACTCTTTACTTTTGCATACAAGTTCTACTCCTGGTGGTCTTTGGGGACTCTTGGATCTGGGCATAACATTTGGGGCTCGTCCAGGATCCCCAAGCGCCCCTAGCCCCAGGACCCTTCAAACTGTTGAGTCAAAGCCTGGCTGGTAGGTGTCTGAACATTTGTCCTCTGTCCCAGTCTCTTGACATTCGACCCTTAATATGAGTAGCCTGCAGGCAGTCTAGGTGGACTCGATGAATGACCCTGGGGCCAAGGGACTTGGAAGATATCCCAGACTCGCATGTAGGGGATTGGATACCCTGCATAGACTTGAGATGCCTGTGCAAGGCTGTTGTCTCATTTTCATTTTACCTCCAGTCACCAGGAGGACTGAGTGTCTTACTGTCTTTCATCCTTCTGTTTGCTCTCTGTCTGACTTTGTGACTGATGCTGTGGGACAGGCTCAGACCACACCTTTAACTTTGTTCTTAGACCATTTCAAGGACTATAAAATTATGGTTAGAAGTCTAGGCTTAGATGTTAAGGACAGACTTACCACCTTTTGCATGAATGGATGACCACTTTTCAATGTTGGCTGGCCCCTAGGGGAGACTTGACACATGCTTGTGATTTTTAGGACCAAGGACATTATTTTTGGATGACTAAAACACCCAGACCAAGTCCCCTACATCACCACCTGGCAGGATCTGGTCCAGGTGCCACCAGAATGGCTCAAGTCACTGCTGCCACCACAGCAGCCAAGTACCTTCATACTTACTCTGGAAAACTGAGAGAAACAAAAAGCTGAAACTAACCCTACTGACCTTCTTTATCCTGTCTTGCAGGGTGGCACTGAGGAAGACCTCCTCTTCTCACCCCTGCCTTACCAACCCCCACTAGGGGATCATCCAGAGCCTCAACCTTGGTGAGCCCACCTCACACCTGAGGGAGAGCCCAGCAAGAGCTGCCTTGACTGCCCACAGCCAAGCCAATGTTCTCTCCTTGAGTGCAATAGGCCCCCAAGAAAATGAGGGGAACTAACTGATGATGCATTACTGGCCCTTTGCCACTAGTGATCTATGTAACTGGAAACCCCAGAGCACTGAGCTCTCAGAGAAACTAGCTGCATTAATAGATTCTGTCATTTTTACCCACCAGCCCACCTGAGATAAATGCCAACAGATCTTGCAGATCCTCTTCACTTTCAAGGACCAAGAGAGGATTTTAAATGAGGCCTGGAAATTGGTTCTAGGAGCAGATGGGACCCCCTACTACTAAGCTATGACTGATGCAGGCTTTTCCTTGCCCAAACCAGACTGGAATTTTAACTTGGCAGAAGGTAAGGAGAGGTTTCAGGTCTACCACTAGACTCTAATGGGAGGTCTTAGGGCAGCTGTATGTCAAGCCACTAATTTGGCCAAGGTACATAATATGCAGCAGAAAAGAATCACCTGCAGCCTTTTTAGAAAGGATTAAGGAGGCCTATTGCACCTACATGTCCCTAGACCCAGAAGCACCTGAAAATAAGTCAGCAGTCATTATGGCCTTTGTAAATCTAGCTGTCCCCTAAATCAAGCACAAACTGCAGAGAATAGATAGGTTAGGGGAGAAGAGTTTGCAGGAGTTGTGGGTGGTAGTCAAGAAAGTGTACAACAATGGAGAAACTCTTGAGGAGCAACACTTACGAGCTATGACCACTGCCAATGAGCGACAAGCTCACAACGAGGCCAAGATCCTTCTGGCCACATCAGCAGATTCCCTGGAAGAGAAACACTACCAATGGCACTATCTTGTGGCCAGAAAAGGTAAGTCCCCAACAAAAGGGGAAACAAAACCTCCAAATCAATGGATATGTAAGAATATGGGATGTTGGGTCAAGGACTTCCCCAAGAAACCTCCACAGAGGGACTGAGGCTGGGAGCGCTAGCAGGTCCTCAAGTTGGAAGAACTTAGTGACTAGAGGTGACAGGGTTCAGACCCCCTTCCTGAACCCAACATAACCCTTAAAGTGGAGGGAAAACCTATAAATTTCTTAGTAGACATGGGCACAACATTCAGTCTTAGCCCAATCCCATGGTAAATTGTCCTCAAAGAAATCATGGGTACAGGGGCCATTGGTATGAATCAGGATGCATGAACTTCCCAAAGAACAGCAGATCTCGGAACAAGCTGGGTATCCCATTTCTTCATGGTCATACCAGACTGCCGCTACCCCCTCTTGGGGGGAGATTTACTGACTAAGATAGGAGCTCAGATTTCCTTTGATCAAAAGGGACCTCTGTCCCAGATCCCAGAGGGTGTGCCATTCATTCTGTCTCTAGAAGATAAATATAGAGTGCAAGCTCTTTGGAATGAGATCTCAACATGGTTAAACAAATCCCCCTTGGCTTGGGTAGAAACCAGAGGAATGGGGTTGGTAAGCCATAGGACCCCCTCATTTGGACTGAACTGAAACCAGGGGCAACTCTTGTCTGAATAAAACTGTACCCAATGCCCCAAGAAGCCAAAGTGGGCACCCCACATCATACCCCACATCAGAAGGCTCAGGGACTTGGGCATAGTAGTACCTTGCCAATCCCCATGAAATATATGCCTCCTTCCCATCAAGAAACTGAACTCCAGTGACTATAGACCAGTCAAGGCCTCAGAGAGGTAAATAGGAGAGTTATAGACATATATTTGATGGTACCAAACTCTTATATCTTCCTGAGTTCATTAGAACCTTTCAAGAGTTGGTTTACAGTATTGGACCTCAAAGATGCCTTCTTTAGTCTGTTCTTAGGC